AGCCATCTGGCTCAAGCCTCCTCGGCTCGAGCAGGCAGGCCCCGTCCTGCGGCCTGGGCTCGCGCGCGAGGGCTGGACGCTGTACCAGATGTTCTGTGCGGCTTGAGGGCCGCCGATGCGACTGGCCTCGCTTGCAGGCAGTTTCCGGGCGGTCAAGATCGAGTTTTGCTACGCCAGCACGGGCTCCACTTCCCCAAGGCGGGCATCATGCTGGTCACCACGTTCATGAAGCTCGGGGCTTGGTACGACAACGAGGGGGGCTACTCGTGGCGTGTCTCTTTGCTTTTTTGTGTGGACGGTGCTGCTCCTCACAGGCGGGGCGATTTCGTGGAGCTCTTGGCCTGGCACGGCATCGAGTTGGGCTCTTCGCTCCGCTTCGTTCACCTGTTCGGGCTTGTTCACGGATTCTTCTTCTTGGATGTGCTGTTCTGCGTATGCTTTCGCCAGCGTTCTCTTGGTGGTGTTTCTGCGGCGAGGCTCTCGGGTCTTCCGACCTCGAGGCGTGCCCCATCTACAGCACCTGCGGTTCCAAGGCAGGCATCTCTCTGGACCCCGTTTTCGTGAAGCTCTTGGTCTGGCCAGTCACCGTGCGGGTTTTCTCGTTGTGCGTCTCGGCCGTTTCCAAGCTGCTTCATCGTGTGAGTTCTTCTTCGCAGGTGGCTCCAAGGTCGGCATCATCAAGTACTCCTTGTGCTTGAATTTCGCCCTCCTGCACTTTTTCGTGGAGCTCGTGTTCATAGAGGCGGCGGGATTGCCCCCCCCTAAAGGGCCTGCGGTATTTGGTGTGCTTTGTCATACTGAGCTCTTCCTGAGCCTCTTCTGCTGCGTCCGCGTCGCCTCTGATGGCCATCCATCTTCGCCACCACTGTGTGGCCAAGCACAGCGCGTCTGTTCTCCAGGCCAGTCCATTTGTTTATCTTCCGATGCTGTTCAGCTCAGGCTCTGCTTGCTCGGAGGGTGGGGCGAGGGCCTCCCGTGTCGATCCTTTTTCCCTTGGGGGATGCCTCAGGGCTTCACTGGGCTATGTTTCGCCCCTCCCGTGGCGCTCAGCGGCGGCGGATGGGCTCACATCGGAGTATGTGCGATCGGTCCCGTGATGCAGGGTGGCGCAACGTCCCCGCCCGTGCGTGCTTCCAGCCTGCAGAGGTGCTCGCCTCGCTCTTCTGCTTGAACTTAGCCCTTGGGTGTATAGAGGTTGAAAGGGGGACACAAAACAAAAAATCCAAGAGGCTCCCAGGAAGCCCCCAGGAAGCCCAAAGAGTGCCCCCAGAGACTCCCAAGATGCCCCGTTCTCCTCCTCCTCCTCCTCCTCCTCCTACTCCTCCTCATCGTCCTTCTCCTCCTGATCCTCCTCCTGATCCTCCTCCTCCTCCTCCTCCTCCTCCTCCTCTCTTCCTCCTTCTGCTCCTCCTCCTCCTGCTCCTGATCTTGCCCGCCATCCTCCCCCAAGTGTTCCCCGACGGGTTTCCACAACGGTTGGGGGAACACATGGTCCAGTAGCGTGGCAGAGCTCTTGCCACAACGCTCGGACACATGGGCGCTTTCGAACCTCTTGCGTTCCCCGAAGGCTCTCCAAACCGACTCGGTGAACAACTGGCCCGATAGCTTGGCCAAGCTCTAGTCCAGCTGTCGGCCACATAGACGCTTCCACGAGGGCAGGAGGCGGCGGGGAATTCGCCGTAGATGTCTTCGATCCGCCGCCCCCTGTTGGCAAGGGTGCTCGGCGTGCAGATCCTGTCGGTGTTGGTTTTGGACATTTGTCCACAAAGAACTCTCCCGTGGGGCTCCAGCCCAGCCCGCCGGCCACCCGGAGGAGCGCACAAAGCCGCACAAAGCCCTGCAACGAGTTAAAGGAGGACTTGTACCGATCAGCGAAGGGTAGTGCTAGACATGTGGCGAAAATGATCGCAAGGCAGCCCGTTGCCGCAAGAGCGCCAACGAGGTTGCCCCCTGTCACAGGGGGGCAGGGGGCCTTTAGTGGAGCCCGCGCAGATGTCAGGACAACCCCCGCCTGGACCAGTATGTTAAAGCGACGAAATCGGCGAGACCACTACGCAAGGTGAAGTCACAGGTGATTTCGACGTACCGGGGCCGGGTAGACGAGCGCGGGAGTGGAGGGCCTAGTGCCCGGCGGCAGCGAAAATCAGGAACAGGGAAACAAAATCCGGTTTCAAGTGGAAGTGCGCATTGACGGAATGCGTTCTTACTTGCGACTGCGGCACCAATTGGGGTAATCAGCCGCGTCGCGGAGTGTGTCGAGGAGAGAAGCTTGATGCAAACATACACAAAACTACAATTAGTAGAGATGTGGGACCCAAGAAAGAAGTCAACGAAGCACCGTTTCGGCCGACCCGCTCGCCACCCACGGCTCGGCGTGTGCGCGCTGCAAACGCTAAGCCTCCTCCTCCTCCTCCTCCTCCTCCTCCTCTTCCTCCTCCTCCTCCTCCTCCTCCTCCTCCTCCTCCTCCTCCTCCTCCTCCTCCTCCTCCTCCTCCTCCCCCTCCTCCTCCTCCTCCTCCTCCTCCTTCCTCCCCCTCCTCCTCCTCCCCTCCTCCTCCTCTCCCCTCCTTCTCTCTCCTCCTTCTCCTCCTCCTCCTCCTCCTCATACCTCCTCCTCCGCCTCCTCCTCCTCCTCCCCCTCCTCCTCCTCCTTCTCCTCCTCCTTCTCCTCCTCCTCCTTCTCCTCCTCCCTCGTCCTCCTCCGCGGCCGCGCGCTGCCTCGGCCCTCCCCTCCTCGCCGCCGAACAGTCCGTGCGTGCCCGGCCATCACTCGAGCGCGCGTGCGGATCACCTCTGCCGCACTGCGATGGAAAAAAGTGCGCGCGCCGCCCCCCCCCCCCCCTCTCCTGTCGCGCCGCCCAGACGACTCCTTGACGACCTTCCCCGAAGAGCGGGAGGTGAGGGGCAACGACAGGGGGGGAGACTGGCTCGGGGGGGGGGGACACCGGCGTGGAATCGGGGACACCTCGCCGATACCATCGGCGCTGGGGCCTCGATCGCAAGTCTGGAACGTTCCTGGGCGGGGTGGGGCTTCCAGACCCTTCTCGGCGATCGGTGGGCGAGTGGGGCTCGATGCGTCCCCCCTGAGCTTGAGCAGGGACCGGCCGTCGCGGGCAGTCCGACAGGCCTACCACGACATGTTCTTTGAACCCAAAAGATGTTCTGAGAACATAAACAATTGTCTGACAACAAAAGCCCGATGTGCTAAAACAGAACAGTCTCAGCCATAACTGTTCCAAAAACACTCCGCGAGGACCACAACAGGGTTCTTGGAGCACTCTCTGGTGGACCCACAGGCAACCCAGGACTCTTCGCCACTGCTCGATGAGGCTGTCCCCCGATCGCTGCCCCCGATGGGGTGGGAGGCTTGCCGCGAAGGAACTGGGAAGGCCACAGCGCACAGCAGGCGAGCCCCGCGGCGCGTCACGTCAGGTCCACCGTCTTCGCCTTCTTCGGCTTCGGTGGGCCCGCGGGCCCGGCGGGGCCTGCCGACGGGGAGCCGAACGGGGAGCCACTCAGGGAGGGCGGGCACTGCTTGGCCGAAGGGGCCTGGACAAGTGGTGTAAAAGGGGGGGGGGAACGGGCCATCCCCCCTCCCTCCCCCGCCCCGCCCTCCCCCCCTCCCCCTCCTCACGCCCGCCCCCCCCCCTCCACTGTGGACGCACGGAACACGTCTAGGAAACATGGACACGATGCCCAACAGCACAGAGACTGTCTAGAACTAACAACGGCCGCTGTTGGGCGAGCGATCTGTCCCGAGTGGACCAGATCCGCGGAAATGCCGACAGCGAATCCTACTTCAGGCGGACAGGAACTGCTGTTGGTCCCCTTCTTTCGGTACCCATCTCCATCCTCCAGATTCACTCCTCGACCCCCCACCCGCGGACCTCTCGACCCCTCCCAGCAAGTGGCTTTCATCCAGAAGTCTTTGGGAGTTCAATTTCCCAGAAACAGCCCCCGTAGATCCCGAACGACGAGAAACCGAACGTCTCGACTCTTTCGACCCGACGAATATTACCTGCCTCCCCAGGCGCGTGTAAATCGATCCTCCCTTGTGCAAAAACATGCGAATCGCTGCGAATCCAGCCATGGCCTCGAGGACGCCCAAACACTTCAAACAAAAACTAGATAACTAGATCCTTTGACCTGGAACCGCGATCGCGCCTGGGCCCCACAGGGCTTCCTCCAGGACAAGCTTTCATTCCGAGCAGTTCTTCGACAGTCAAGGGCGCGGGGAAAGCCTCGAGAACTCGATAACGGCGAAACGCATCTCTTGTCACGGCGGCCCTCGAAATCGATCTAGCGCAATGGGCGAACGTCACCATGGGCGCGATCGTCACCATGGGCGCGATCTAGCTAGAATGGCGAGGGGATCCAGCCGTGGCGACGGGAAGCCTCCAGGATGCCCAAAAAGGCCCTCAAACCTCGACCCTCGATTATCTCTGGAGGCGACCCCAGAAGGGTGCGGCGCCGGAGACAGCGCGGGCTCCGTGGTGGCGACGACGACGACGACGACGACGACGACGACGACGACGACGACGACGACGACGGCGACGACGAGGACGACGGGTGGCGGCGGCGGCGACGGCGGCTGCGACGGCGACGACTACGGCGACGGCGACGCGCGCGCGGCGCCCGCAAGTCCGGCCTGCGCGGTCTCTGCAGGCCCCCGGAAGCCAGAGGGGGCAGGGACACGCAGACCGCTTGCCCCAGCAAGAGCACCCTCATCGCAGGGCGAGGGGGCGGGTCGAGGAGCAGGTCGGCGGGGATCAGGGCTCAAGGCCGAGGCGCAACGTCCGACTCGAACGAGGGCTGAAGGGGGAGGAGGTGGAGGAGGAGGAGGAGGAGGAGGAGGAGGAGGAGGAGAGGAGGAGGAGGAGGAGGAGGAGGAGGAGGAGGAGGAGGGAGGAGGAGGAGGGCAAAGGGAAAAGGGGGGGGGAGGGCGCGGGAGTCCCGCCGCCACGGTCCCGCAACCCTCCGCACGGGCCGAGAGCCCCCATAGCGCACCAGCCGTGGTGGCTGTGCCTTGCAAAGGGACCGCGGCGGTCCGGACCGAGCTGTGGCCGGCAGCGGGACAGGAGAACGACAGCGAGGAGGTCTCGGGCGGCAGGGCCGCGGGACGGGGCGTCCTCAGGCCCCCCATGCCCCGTGTCCGGAGCGGCCCAGAGGGGGGCGTCGAAAAGGGGGGGGGGGGGGGGCACAAATCGTGGCCGGCGGCATGTGCGCGGCCCAGGGAGGGAGCCGGGGACGTGAGGAAATAAGAAGAGGCGCCATGAAATCTGGAGAAACGCCATGGCCCACGCCATGATATCCACACACCACTAGCCATCACCCCCCCTTGGCCGCCCCCGAATGCGGAGCTCTGCAGTCCTTGTGTTACTGCTGCCAGAACCCTCGAACGAAACGTTACCAGGAGAGAACTCTGTGTGCCCACCCCTCGAACTTTGGATACCCGAACGACGACGACGACGACGACGACGACGACGACGACGACGACTACGACGACGGCGACGACGCCGACCGTCGAACAAACCTGAGCACTCGCCTCTCAGAGCTCGATGTCATCGAGGTCCTCGATCCACCGCCCCGCCCCGCAGACGAAGCCAGGACGAGGACAACGTCGGGTAAAGATGGATCGAGAATCTCTGAGATCAGGCGGCTCTGGAGGATCTCTCGGGCGCCGCGGCCTCCTCAGAGGGTACTGGCCCTGATCAATCCGAGCCAGGGTCAGTCGGGCGTTGCAGGGTCCTGCAGAATTCTGCAGGATCCTGCACCAATGCCCGGGTCAATGCGACCCTGGCTCTGCAAGATCCTGCAACATCCAACGCTCTGACTGACCCCTGTTCGCATCGACCGTCGTCTCTTGAGCCCCGAACCCTCCCCGAAGGGGTGGGGCCAAATCCAATCAAAATCGGTCCCTGGATCTCTCCAGGGGTCCATCTGGCAAATTGTTCACCCTGGATCAGCTTTTTACTGCCCTTGGACCCGAAAATGGCCCCAGAGGGCGGATATCTAGCACCCAGCAGTGGCGGATAAGAGCGAGGGGGAAGCCCGCCGCAGGCGCTCAAGCTATACGACGAGCCCGCCGCAGGCGCCTTTTTTGTTAAAACTATGTGGGTGCGTCGCTGGTTGGGTCGCAGGTGGGTCGCGAGTGGGTCCACGGTGGGTCGCGGGCGGGGTCGCGGGCCTGGTCGCGGGGGCGGGTCGCGGGGAGGGCCGCGGGGAGGGTCGCGGGGTGGGTCGCGGGTGGGTCGCGGGCTGCGTCGCGGGCCAGGTCGCGGGCCGGGTCGCGGGCGGGGCGACGCAACGACAAGCAGAAGCCTCGCCGTGGATCCCCACATCAGCCACGCACCCAAAGAAGGTGAAGGACCGCTCGGCCCCCCCACCTCTGATATTGTCGTCCTGGCCCCGCCCGGCCCCTCGACCCTCCCCGAACCCTCGATCCCTCCCACCCTTCGGGCGGGCCTGTCCCCGTACAGGGGGATTTTGGGCGAAAAACAAAAAAAGAAAATCAAGAATAACCCAAAATTATCAGAAAAAACAAAGAACATAAAAAAAACTACACATCGTCCCCATTCTATGCTTGGCTATTTCTGAGTTTCCCCCCGTAGAGGGGCACGCCCGACTTGATGATCGTGTCGTCCTGGCCCCGCCCGACCCCTCGACCCTCCCCGAGCCCTCGATCCCTCTCGCCCCTCGATCTCCGCGGTGCCTCGATCCTCGATGTCGACCCCTCGGCCCCTCGGCCCCTCGCCGCGACCCCCCCCCCCCCCGCGAAGCCTCGAGGCCCTCGGTCCCCAGACCCCCGAGGCCCTGATGCTTTCACAACGTCGACCCCCCGGGAGCGGCCCAAAGGGGGGCGTCCAAGAGGGGGGGGTGCAAATCATGACCGGCGGCACGTGCGCGGCCCAGCGGGAGGCCAGGGACGCAATGAAACAAGAAGAGGCGCCATGAAATCTCGGGAAATGTCATGGCCCCCGCCACGATATCCCCCCCCCCCTAGTCCTCACCCCCCTCTTCGTCGCCCCCGAACCCCAGAGGTTTGGGCCCCTTCCCCGGGACGGGTTTCTCGTCTTAGGTCGGGCATGTCCCCCTACAGGCGGACTCTGGGCAAAGAATCAAACATACACCGAACATGCTCAAAAAATGCTCAAACATAGTTTTAAAAAGATCGTCCCCAGACTATGTTTTCCTATGTTTGAATCTTCCCCCTACAGAGGGACGGGCCCGACTTGATCTTCGTCGTGAGGCGTTTTCTGACGGCCCCGAGCCCGTGGAGGGCCCCCAGAGGCCGAACATAGCAACCAACAACATTTTTTTTTCCCAACGCGGGGGGGTCCCGATGCCTCGACTGTTGTTTTTGTGCTGTTTCCATCCTTTGGCCTACGTATCAGTCAGCAGCTGGCTCGAATCCTCCCCGTCTCCTTGGACGCCACTGCAGGCACTCTGCCTTGTCGTACTCGTTCGAGCGCTCGCTTGCCACGCACTGCAGGCTCACCCTCACAACGACGAGACATACATTCCTCCCCTCCCCGAGCCCTCGATCTCCTCGATGTCCTCGACGCTCCAGCGGCGGCGGCGGCACAGGCCCCCGGGGGCGCCTGCCGCCGGGGGCGGCGCCGGCCCCGCGGCGGGCCGGGCGGGGCCCACCACTGTGGCCTGGCCGCGGCGGCACCAGGGCCGAGTCAGGCCGTCGGGGACCATGCGCCGAGCACGTGCACACATCGGCTGCAGGTCACGCGCACGAGCGTGTGTACAGGAGGGGCCCGACTTCCACGAGAAGCCCAATGAGACCCCCAGGACTGTCTGGTGTGGGAGGGGCACGGTGTCCATCGCAAAAGCATCGGAACCCAAGAAGCCCCGGGCACCCTGGAGGCAAGCAGGATGTTTCCTGGCATGGGCCTCCACTGCGCAGCAGTACGCCCACGTCAGAGGTGGTGTAAAACAATCTGCGCACTCGCGCCCAGCCCGGCCTGAAGGCCCGCACGGCGGCAGACCCAGTGGAAGGGGGAGGGCGCCCAGATCTCCGACGACCTGACTTTTCCAACCCAGGCGAGGTTCCTCGACTTCGGCCTCTGGGGCCCGTTACTGGACCGTCGGACAATCAAGAATCGGTTCCGGGGAAGCACCCCCGGGGCAGGCGTCGTGACCTGTGGGGCCGCGGATGGAAACAACCATATCGGAGGATGTCTGGGGGGGGAGGCCCCCCCCCTCTCGCCTCCGACCTCCCACTTTCGCCGTACCCCTTTACTCCCTCCTCCCTTCCCTCCCTCCCTCCCTCCCTCCCTCCCTCCCTCCCTCCCTCCCTCCTCGGGGGAGGATGGGGAGGGAGGGAGGAGGAATGGGGGGGAGGAGGGAGGAAGGAGAGAGGGGGGAGGGAGGAAGGAGGAGGGGGGGGAGGAAGGGAGGAGGAAGACGAGGGAGAGGAGGAGGAGGAGGAGGGCAGGAGGAGGAGGGAGACGAGCAGAAGCAGGAGCAGGAGCACGAGGAGGAGGAGGAGGAGGAGGAGGAGTAGGAGTAGAAATAGGATGGGAGGAGGAGGAGGAGGAGGAGGAGGGGAGGAGGAGGAGGAGGAGGAGCAGGAGCAGGAGGAGCAGGAGAGGAAGGACAAGGAGGAGGAGGAGGAGGACAGAGGAGGAGGAGGAGGAGGAGGAGCAGAAGGAGGAGGAGAGGTGGCCATGGTGGTAGGGGTTGTCGTCGGCCACTTTGCTGCGTGCCCGTCGGAGGCATGGCGTGGCTGCTTGGCGCGAAATAGCGTGATATGATCATGGCGCGACGGTGAGAGCCCATATGTATTTCGCTAGTACACTGGCAATCCTTGACAGCGCGCCAGAAGCGCTTGTTCACAATAAAATAATCAATGTGCCTGTCCATCTTCTGGGGCGACGCGTACGCAATGAAATTGTTGACCTGCTTGTAAAAAAAGGAAACAAACAAACAGCAACAAAAAAAAAAACGCGCTCGCCAACCGAACGCGCTGGTTGGCCGCCCAACGTTTTAACCACTGCCCTCGAACATTCATGCCACCAATTGCGCAGCGTCCCACAGTACATCGCGCATCTTCCGCAGTGCGTTGCACTGCGCTTGCATTGCAGTCGGCCCCAAAAGATGTCATCATGCATGCCGCGTGTGCGTCCTGGCATATCTGGGATAATGCGTAGCACGCGGTTTGAATATGTTTGTCCCCGCACCCACTGCGAGGAAAATATGCAATGGACATCGGTAGACGGATTGGCCCCCTCTTGATCTCGACATAAGCAACCCGTTCATTGACAAGGCGAACAGAAACGATCTGTCCAAGCCAATGCCTGTGTAATAAACTACCCACACCGCGCGGGTACTCTTTGAACCCTGATTCCAAGGTGGTATGCCCATGTCTGGTAGTCCAAAAATCTGTGGCATCAGCCCTCCACGAATCGTTTATTGCGATTGCGTCCTATTCCGAACTGCGGAGCTCGTCGCATAGCTCCGTGAACCTGTCTCTAGATGTCAACCCACGGACGGTCTTGAGAAATATTGCAATGTACATGAATATGTTCCCGTCGTCGCATCCACGCTCGCACCACTACTGTTGGTCATGGATCTGGCGCGGCAGTCGGAGCCTGGAGGGAGAAGGGTTGGAAAGGCTGAAGGCTTCGCCCATGCGGATGTGGACTTTGCCTTCAAGCTGGAACTCTCCTTGTTGATGTTGAATCTTGTTCCCTTGGTTCTCAAGATCGCGATCTCGTCCCTCGCTGGGAAATGCCAGCGGCGAGTCGCTCCTGCATTCAGAACGCCTTAGAATTTGATGCAAGATACGACCTGGAGAGGCGGGCGACAGAGCAGAAGCCGGGCGGGAAGCAAGGTCGAAGATCAATGCCCGTAGATCTGGACTAGGGATTCCTGCGCGGGCGACGCGCGCCCGCATTGAGCTGGCCAGAAGCCCCCCTCGACAAACCTATATTTCCCACGTCCACCTCCTCCAGCGAATGCAATTTGTTTCCCTGGTCCCTGATGCAACCCGGGGACCGTAATCGGTGAAACGCGCCTCGCTCGAGGAATCTTTCGGTCCGGAGTCGAAGTCGAATCGGCGTCGGGGTTCGGAGCTTATCGTGGGAGAATTCTGGGCTGGATCGGAAGTCGCAGATCGGCTTCAAAGGCGCGGAGGTCGGAAAGTGCGGCCAGAGTCGGAAAGATGAGATCCAACCTCGGGAGGGACGTCATGTCGCCCGCGCCCTCTGTAGATCCGCGAATACAGATACCAGGAGCCGCGCAGCACAAAGCTGCGGCGGGCGACTGTCCTGGGCAACTTCTGTAAAAAAGTTCCTTCGGGAAGTCCGCCCATAGCTTTGCAGAATCCTGGGTCGTCGTCTATGGGGGCATCGAGGCGAACAGTAGATAGGTGAAGAGCATCATCCAACTCACGATACTGATTGACAACCAACCGGCGCGGGCTCCGACCGACGTCGCAGCCGTTGCGGCGGGAGCTGGAGCCAGCGGAAACAAAATTGACGTTCAGTACGAGACCGATGTTGCATCGCAGCAGCAATTCGGCCCCTGACTTTCGCCCTGGGCGCGGTTTAGTGAAGCAATGAATTTCGGGGCCCTTAAGGGGGGAAAAAAATCACTTCACTAATCTGGGGCCCCTGGGGCCTCAGTGGGCCCTGGGGCCCAAAATTAGTGAAGCGATGGTTCTCGGGCCTCGGATTCAGGTCCGGAGTCGGTGAAACATCCCCGCGTCGAAGCTGCGCTGGGCTACGCGGCGGCACCGGAGTGGGTGAAACGCGCCCTTGGCGAGGCTGTGCCGCTGCAGCTCGCGGCCCCTCTTGTCCAGCGCCGCTGTCAGAAAGTAATGATCGAAGGTGTTCCTCGTGAACATGTCCCCCGTGGTCTGCGCGCCGAAGTTCGCGATGCTGGAAAAGATCGTCGCTTGCCAGGGGCGAGGCGCCGCCTGGCAAGGAAAGCTCTGCTGCTGGGGTCGGAGTTGGTTTGGATGGGAGTGGTAGCAAAGGCCATTGGAAGCCGGAATTGGACACAGAGTGCGAGGGGCCCAGCGCCGGAGTCGGAGTGGATCGTGGAGGGCGCGGAGAAGATAGAGGTCGGAAGCTGGAGCCAGAAGGATACGGTTGAAGAGAGTGCCCTTGGAGTGGAAGCTCGCGCCGTGGAGGCTTAAGACGTGGATGCTGGAGGGTTTCGCGCCCGGTCACCAGTGAAACCTGCGAGCACATCTCCGCCTATAAATCTATAGTTTCCTCGGCCTCCTCTTGGGTGTCGGAAGATCGTCCCACAGTTGGCAAAACATACCCCGGGTGGGAAATATGTTGGTCTGTGCATTGGCTGTCGTACCCCCTCCCCTAAAAGGACACTGTCTGCGTCAAGGTCCAGTTTGAATTTGGTTCGAAAACTATTCAGTGGCTCTTCCACCTGCGAATCCACGGATACCCCCACACTCGTTGTTTTTCGGTGCCCGTGAACGTCAAACCATGCGCTTCTCCAATAATACCTTCACATCGTCCTGCTTGTGCTTGTCCGCCCTTGAAAAATCGTATCGTGCATCCCAAACTCTTGTCATCAATCTGCTCCTCTTTTGTCTGGTGGCTCTTGAACAATGAACAATACACCTTCCAACCATGGCGCCTCCTCGACTTCTTGAACTGCCCGGTAAAACTTCACCTTGTCAGATACGGTGGAGAAAGAAAGCAAGGCCATTTCCATGGGGTTTGTGAACACATTGAATTGCAAGCCAGAGATGTCATCAATGATCTTCGATAAGATGCCCTCCAATTTCTTGATCGAATCGTCAGGGCATAAGCGTTCTTTGAATCCCAGCTCTACCGACTGCATGGTCCTGTCGCCGTATTTCCTCTCGTGTTATGCAGGCTGCCCGGGTTAATGTTGAGTTTACACTTGATGTCCTGTACGTCCTCGTGCAATGCCGCATTCGAATCCATAACTTGTTTGACTGTGTTATTGACCTCCCTGACGGCATACATCGATTTCACGGCAGTGGCACGCGCACTGCGCGCAGCAAGCTTAGTTTTTGAGACTTCGTTTATGACGTCTGACAACATGCCAGGCATGTTGTCAATATTGTCGTCCTTGGTCATGCTGTCTTTGTTCGCATCCATCTTCAACTCCTCCGCGTCTGGAGACCCAGCTGAGCCATCCTCCTGCCGTACCCCATCCTTCATCATCACAGGCCGACTCCTAAGATTTAGAGGTACCTCGGTAAGCTGAATTGCTGAGTTGCTGAGGTGTTGGGTTGCTGAAGTCTAGAGCCCCTAATCGCTTACCAGCCAGAGAGAACTATGCAACAACCGCTTGTGCAGAAGACAAACAACACCAATATGATATGCATTTCCGCCGTTTCCAAACCAGGAGCGCCGCATGTTACGAAACCATCACCAGAACTCATGCGACGCTTGCGATCGTCGTCGATACCAGGTGCAACACGTTTCCTCCAAACATGCTTATCACCTTTGCATCGATCGCTTCCGACAGGCTGCCCATTGGCGCCACGTGGATTTGCCCGTTGTCCTTGACCGTTCCCATTGAAGCATTCTCGCGGCTGCCAAGTACAACTCGGGCGCCTCCATCTGCAAGGAAAAAGCACTGCAACCTCATTCCCGCCGTGCCCTTTGCCATGGCCCTTGCCCGAATACCGATGCCGGCGCAGATGCCTGTCGGTCCTCCTACACCAGCGCCTTATGGCCACCATCTGGGGTATTCGGCCCAAGTTGTACCACCGCCTCCTTCAGGGGCATGCCGCCGTCCTCGCTGGTGTTTGTCGTGTCTGGGTCCTCGCGGCTACAGAGCGCCTGTCGACACGAACTGCACCAACACCCTTCCGAACCATATTTGAATTACCTTATGCGGTTCCTCCTCGTAGTTCACCGCGAGACGAAGAAACCGCTCAATGATGATACTATTGCTGATTCCCTTGTCCCGCTTGTGCACCAGCATCTCTCAGATTCTGTTTCCGTAGCTCCAGCATAATGATGTGCCTGTCAGAAGTGCTGCGCCGCCTGGGCAAGTCCGCTCCCGCGCTTGGAGAGAAAAATCGAGCGGGGGTTTGGGCCGCAACTGGTCGCGTCCGCCCCGCTGTGAACAGGCAATCCACAAACAGGCTTGACCCACAACAATTGTGGTAGCCCCTGCTGTGAGCATGTCTCACTGCCGAGTCCTTATCCCCAACTACGCTCGACTGACGAGCCATTGAACCAGATCAGCAAGGATTACGCCGAGGAGGAAGCCAGAGTGAAATGGATACAACAACATGAAAAGGGGAATGATGTCGGAGTTGGCCGCTCGTCTCCCACGGATATACTGGCGCCGATGCTGAATCAAATCTCCCAGGAGCTATCCCGAATGTGGATGCCCGAAATGCACACCGGAAAAAATGATACGATGCCCAGCAATAGAAGCTTTTGCCCAAAAGCTACAGCTGCCAATGTTGGGCAAGCGGCCTTCTGCCTCAGATGGCCAACGTCCGCGGCGACATCGACAGCGAGTCCTGTCCAAACTGAACAAGGCATGCAACTGGCTTTTTGTACCCCTGACTCGTATGGCACTCTCATGCCCGTGCCTTCTTCAGTACGCGTGTCAACGTTTCGCCCTGCTGGGGCTCGTCATTACTCAAATGAAAATAGCAGCGGCCTGCGAACACGGCAAGTGCACATGACACAATGCTGCGCACCAATGACTGTCAGTCTGTGTACCTCTGAAGAAGAAGAACAAAAAGAAGAAGCGGCATAAACATAAACTTTTGACGGTCCGCGCGGATTCCGTTGATCTGTGCTGGACCACCCTTCCCAACGCGCGAAGCGCGCGGGGGGAGCACCAGAGACGCCGCCAGGGGCACCTAGCGCAGAGCCAAGAAACCCGCACGGACCGCAACAAAATGCGTGTATGCAGTTTGTTTCAAGACAAGCACGTTCCACTGCGCGCAAAGTAACTACGTACTCGCAAATGGCCTGGATCCACCGCGTGGGATAGCCGATCCACTGAATAGAATAAGATATGCTTTTGTCTGACGTTTGTGAGTGGGCACGTTGCGGCGGGGCCGAAACTAGCTGCATGCAGCAGATTTCGTACCCCCTCCTTTCTCTAACACCCCCTTTCGTTCGGCCCGAACTTTGCGAGCAATGGAACGCGCTCGGTGATGTTCGACTTCCGCACTGGGGCCGTCTTGGGGGCCCTTTGGGCCGTCATGGGGCCATCTTGGAGACCTCGTGGGCGATCCTGGGGCGATCTTGGAGGCCTCCTGGGCCGTCTTCAGCCGTCGGCAGGCCGAGCAGAGGCAGATGCGCCCAAAATCAGTGAAAACCCGAAGGAAAATCAGTGATTGAAGGGGCCCTGGGACACACAAACAAACATACACAAATAAAACAATTCCCCATACTTTCTGGGTTTTTGTCTTCCCCCCCACTTCCCACATTTTCCCATATTTTCGGGGGAATCGACGATTCATTGTGTCTGTGTGTTTTCTTTCTCTCCTGAGTGCTTCTGGCCTCTCCGGGCCCCCGACCTGCGGCGGCGCCTCCTCTCAGGAGGGAAAAAAACACACAGACACAATTAATCCTCGATTCCCAGGAAAATATGGGAAAATATGGGAATTGGGGGGGAAGACAAAAACCCAGAAAATATGGGAAAATATGGGGACTATTTTTATTTGTGTGTATTTATTTGTGTGTCCTAATTTCTCTTTATCCTCGCCCCTCAGCGCGGCTGCCGGCGCGCGCTCCCGCCGGCCGCCGAGGCCTCGGCGCACGGAGCGCCGAGGCCGCCCAGGCGCGGGCACCCGCCCGCTGCTCGACGACAGCGGCCCCCTGGGAGGAAGGAGCCCGCCGAGCCTGCTCTTCGGGGGCGGCGCGAGCACGGGTGAGCGCTGTGGGTGCCACGACGACGGACACCCCAACAGTCCGATCCTCGAGTGTGAAAATGTGCTCAAAATGTCGGACAACTGCTCTAAACATGTTTGTGGCAGGTGTTTGACATGCTTAAAACATGTTTGACAATGTTTCAGGCATCTAGAAATTATGTGGCAACACGCTTCCTATCCATTGATCGCCCTCCACATGATCAGTGGTCCATGGGCTTGGCGCGCGGTCGCCGAATCCATGGATCGGGGGAGGTGCCCTCCCCAAAAGTGCGGCCGGTGCCGCCTCGCTCGGCGGCGGAAGTCCGCGGTTCCCCATGGAAACGGGACACGTCGCCAATCCACGCCCCCTTGATCCATGTTTGCGATCGCCTGAGGCTGGGAAACCGAAGGGAAGCGGCGAAGACGTCAGACAACTCGTGCCCCCTGAGCCTATCCCCCCCTGACCTTGCCCCTGGCGCTCTCGGAAGTTGGGCGAAGGCTGGCAAGCCCGTGGCCGCCAACGCGGTCTTTCCGGAAGGAGAAACAAAAACGTATTCCCGGAAGCAAGCTCGGCGCATTAGAAAGTGAACGGGCTGCTTCCCTCGGGGGCGGCAAAGAGGGAGGCGTCCAAGAGGGGGGGGTGCAAATCATGACCGGCGGCACGTGCGCGGCCCAGGGGGGGGGGCTGGGGACGCAATGAAGTAAGAAGAGGCGCCATGAAATCTGAGGAAATATCATGGCCCACGCCATGATATCCCCCCCCCCTACCCAACCCCCCCCTCTTTGCCCCCCCCGAGATGGCCCCCCCCCCGTCAGTTTCAGTCGGGACTGAGGGACCTCCCTCCCTTCTTCCTCTGAGTCGCGCGCGGGAGGAGGAGGAGGAGGAGGAGGAGGACGAGGAGGAGGACGAGAGGAGGGAGAAGAAAGGAGGAGAAAGGAGGACGCCCACGATTCCCGGAAGAACAGAAAACATATCCCCAGAGCTCCGTTATGGCAGCCACGGGCCTGCCGGCCGCCGCCCGGCCCCCGACTCTCTCTTTCCGGGCGGCGACGCCCGGGGCCTTGCCCCCACCGACCGACGGCTCGCCCGCGCAGGTGCGAGGCGGGCAGGGCTCGCACCTCGCCGCGCCCTCGCCGACCTCCGCGAGCCTGCCCCCGCCGCCCACCGCGCTGCCTGCAGCAGCCATCGGCGCGGGCAGGGCTCGGGCGCCGCTGCCGCGCCGCGGGGTCGACTGGCACACCGGCAGGCCACGAGCGTGCGAGCAGGTGCAGCGAGCCGGCGCAGACTGCGACCCGGGCACGCCCACGAGGAGAGGGAAGGGGGGAAGCCGCTGGGGGCGCACCGGCAGGCCACGAGCGTGAGCAGGTGCAGCGAGCCGGCGCAGACTGCGACCCAGGCACGCCCACGAGGAGAGGGAAGGGGGGGAAGCCGCGGAGACGCATGGCGGGGCAGGCGGGCCGCGGGCGTGAGGTGCAGCGCGCTGGCGCCATCCTGGGCCTGGAACGCCCACGCGGGCACCGGGAGAACCAAAAGGTACCGATGCCGCTGCTCCCCGGACCTCTCCCAGGGATCACTCGGATCAGAGTTGCGAGGCGAACACCCCGACTGGGAAGGACGCCCAGCGCCTGCGCCCCGAAGCCATTTCCCGCAAGCAAGCTCCCTAGGACAAGGAATCCCCTGGCCGCGCCGAGAAGTGGGAGGATCGACTACACGCAACAAGGAACCTCCCTCCTCCCTCCTCCCTCCTCCTCTCCCTCCTTTCCCTCCTCCCTCCTCCCTCCTCCCTCCTCCTCCTCCTCCTCCTCCTCCTCCTCCCTCCTCCCTCCTCCTCCTCCTCCTCCTCCTCCTCATCCAGACCCTACTACATACACTCGGGAGGTGGCGCGGGAGGATCGACTACCTTTGCTGCGTGGCATTTTTTGGGGGCTGCGGGGGGGGCCACATGGGATTCAGCATGGCATTCAGCGATCGGCGGACCCCACTGCTGAACCCGCACCAACGGTCACCCCTGCAAAAAGGTCACTCTTATGTCTAATTGGGCGCCCGAAAAATGTGTACGGAAAAGCGGGTTACAATGCCCAACAACAACTGTAGTCAAAAACCAATAGTGGCCGCTGTTGGGCAGGCGGCTCTGTCTCAAATGGACACAGGCCGCGGCGACACTGACAGCGAGTCCTGTTCAAAATGAACAGGAACTGTTGTTGGGCAGTGTACAATCTTTCCGTACCCATTTGGTTCGTGCCGAGTGAAGTCGACAGGAGGGTGTTGGAGATCTTCTGACCCGGGTCAATCAAGACCCGATTCAGCCAGGCCTTGCAAGATCCTGCAGGATCCTGCACCCAAACCCGGGTCGATGCAACCCTGGCCCTGCAAGATCCTGCAGGGTCCTGCACCCAAGCCCGGGTCAACGCGACCCTGGCTCTGCAAGATCCTGCAAGATCTGGCGCCCTGGCTGACTCCCGTTTGCATTGACCCCCGTCTCAAGTCGGGAGCGGCCAAGAGGGGGGTGTCCAAGAGGGGGGGGTGCAAACCATGACCGGCGGCATGTGCGCGGCCCAGCGGGGGGGTCAGGGACGTAATGAAATAAGAAGAGGCGTCCTGAAATCTGTGGAAATATCATGGCCCCCGCCATGATATCCCCCCCCCTGGTCATCACCCCCCCCTTTGCCGCCCCCGATATCAAGGCTCCCGCGGGCGCGAAAGAAGGCGCGGCCCGGGCTGGCCTTCCGCTTCTCCGCCCGCTTCCCCTCCTCGGGCTTCTCGGGCCCCGGCGGCCTCCCCTGCTGCGCCACCCCGCTGCGCGCGCCCCGCTGCGGCAGCCCCGCGCACAGGAGGGCGGGGAGGAACTCAGGGAACCGCGCGGTGCCCCCGCCCCTCCTCCCTCTCGACCTCCCCCTCCCGACCTCCCCCCCTCCCTCCCCAGGCGGCATCCCCTCCCTCCTCGCCCCGTCGCTCCTCCCCCGCCCCTCACTCCCCCCCTTTCTCCATCCTGCCCCTCGACGCCTCTGGCCACGCCACCCCTATCCTACCTCCCCACCTCCTTTCGTCCTCGCTCGCCCCTGCCCCGCCTTTAGACGAAGCCAGGACCAGGACAACATTGGGTGAGGGTGAATCGAGAGTATCTGAGATCCGGCCTTGAACGGATTCATCCTCGCCCTGGCCACGTCCGACACCCTCAGCACGGGGGAAACGATCCTCCCCATGACCAGTTCTTCGTCCTCTGTCGCTCTCTGGCAGTCCTCCGGCCCGTGGAGGGCCGCGAGAGCCCGAGAACGGCGACGGCCCGGCCCGCTCCCCTCGGGACCCGCTTGACGCATCCCCCCCCCCCTGCGTCCAGACCACTCGCCCCGTGCCCTGGAAACCCGCACGCCCCCTTGAGAGAACCAGGCCACAGGTGCCGCCCGGGCCCCGGGCGCTGGCGGGCGGGCACGCCCTCGGGCGCCGGCCCCGGCTGCCTGCGATCGGCACAAGACGGTTCGGGGCTTACGGGGGTGAGCCCCAAAGCCTGCTGCGACCGCGGCCACGAACCGCCTGCGCGCGCCAGCTTGCTGTGACGGCTTTCGTGGGCGAGGCCACCCGCACTGCGCGACTCGACCGGTGCCCAAACGGCCGGCGTCTGGACGGACTGGGCCGTGAATCCATTGGATTGGTGAAACGGACCTAGAGGGCCTGCAGACATGGACTAGTGAAACGGACCCAGTCCCAAATAGAACGCACCACCACCATTGCTGCTTGGTTCCCGGGGCCGCTCCGCTAATCCATGTCGTCCTCCGCCTACTACTTACAACACGGTGCACATGGATCCGCAACATGGATTAGCGAAACGGACGGCGCGAATCTCGGCGCGGTGTGACAGATGCGTTCGTCCCGATGATGCAAGTGTGCATGGCTCTGCCTCTATTATGATTGCCGCGGCTTTCTCCAGCAAGGGCCGGGTACTGGTATGGTTCGACTCCTCCATACCGAGCATCCCCCTGCTTGTGTCGATGGCGAGTTGCTAGCGCCAGTGTTGCCCTGGTATTGTGTAGGGGCTGCGGCTCCTGGCTCCGCTCCCCCATCGCCTCTGACAGAGCACATCTCTGGCCCGGTGAGGCGCTGTGCGGCGTGCCCTGATCTGGTTCGCCCTGGCCTTTCCCTGTCGCGTTCCGCCTCGTCTGGCCGTGTCGTCTCCGGTGCGGACTTGGCACGGCCTGGTCTGGCCTTGCCTCGTCTTGCCCCCCCCTCCCCCCCCCCGCGCTCACGTGATGTCGTCCCTTCGCTCTCTCGGCGAGACGCTTCGCCGCCGTCGCGTCTTCCTGGTTTTCAGTCCTCTGCCCTCACTCCCAGAGTGGCCCATTCTTCGTGCGGTCCTCCCGCCACCTGTGGGGTACAGTCAGGCAGCCTGCGCGAGAACCATCCTGGGCTCGAGAGTGGCTTAGGCCGTCGGGCTGTCCAGCGATCTGGGGCAGGCGGGCCTCTGACCCACCTGCCCAGCCATGTAGGAACAAGGAGATGCGACACCAGCACCACCTGGGCGAGGAGACGCGAGGAGGCGAGGAGGCAGGGGGGGGGGGGGGTCTCGCTGGTGGTGTGGTCCCCCCCTCTCGCTCGAGGCATCCCCAGCCCCCAGCTCGGGGAGGCATCGTGGACCTCCTCGCTGGAGGTGGGCCCCCTGGTGGTGTTGGTGTCGCTCCTCCTCCCTCCGACCATGCGCGCCAGCCTCCGAGCCACCAGGGCCTGGCTGGGTCTCGACTCGCGCTCGGCGCATCGCTCGGGGGCCCGCACAGAGTCGACTCGGGCGCCTCGAGTCCGCGTCGAATCGACGAGAATCCACGTCGAGTCGACGAGAATCCACGAGCATCAAGTGAAGGGGAGAAGCGCAGACTGCAGGACAGGCAGGCCCCCCCATATGCGCAGAACCTGACCCTCCCCCGCAGGCTCGGCCGCAACGACGAGGTGCGTCCCGTCTGCCGGCAGTGCACAGAGCAGAGCAAGTACCTAAATGACCTCCTCCCCCCCTCCTCCTCCTCCTCCTCCTCCTCCTCCTCCTCCTCCTCCTCCTCCTCCTCCTCCTCCTCCTCCCACTCATTCTCCTCCTCCTCCTCCTCCTCCTCCTCCTCCTCCTCTTGCCCCTACCAGCTGCTCGGGAACCACAGAGAGGAAATACAGTCAAGCCGCATAACAAGTATGCGCGGTAAGGATGCAAGGGCCTTGGAGGGCCATGTTGACGTCGTTCGAACGAGGTTGGCCACCGAAAGTCGCCAAGAATGGGCCGAAGGGGCAAGTATGCAAGGGTAGCATTGGAAGTTTGCTCATCCTTCCTACTGTGCGGGTTGACTGTACATAACAACTCTCCGATACACATGTAAGTGTACTTACATGCGAATATATATATATATATATATATATATATATATATTATACTATATGGATTGCCAGCGAGTGCTCTGGCGACGGCTTCCCCTTTGAGGGGACAGGGGTAAGTCAGAGCGTGGAGAGGGAGACCAAAACAGCAATCAGAGAAGTGCGTGGACAAAGATCTTCGGAGGTCCGCGCAGATCTCCTGGGTCGGCATTCGACGCTCCTCCCCGCGCCCCCTTTTCCCCAGCGCGCGGAGCGCGCCAAATGCCAATGGCGCCGGGCTGAGGGGCAATGATCGTGGTAGTCTGGCTCGAAGGAGGAGGACACCGACCCGGAGTTGGTGATACATCTTCGATGAATCGGCGAGGCCCCCGAAAGCGAATCCGAACGCTCCTGGGGGGGTTGGGCGACACGATCGGCGATGCATGGACGATTGGGAAGCGATACAGACTCGCCCCCTGAGCCGTTGCCCCTGAGCCGTCTGGTGGCCCTCGGAGAAGACTCGGGTCTCGGCACGACACGATCTGGGCACCCCCGGAACGCTCTCGGCGAAGCGCGGCCGCTGGAAGGACCCCGAGGCTGGAAAGCCGACGAGGGTCAACACAACCGGCCGCAAGCCTCCAACCTCGAAGCCGAAAGCCTCGAGCCTCGAACCCCTGAGCCGATCCCCTCCTAATCGGCAGTGATGGGCCCATCTTCCACCACCACCACCACCATGTGCAAGAGAGGGAGGAGGAGGAAGAGGAGGAGGAGGAGGAGGAAGAGGAGGAGGACGAGGAGGAGGAGGAGGAGGAGGAGGAGGACCCCCTCCCCCTGCAACTTGTGGTGGTGGTGGAAAACAGGCCCATCAAGCATTGCTCCTGGCAGATGTTTCGGGGGCGGCCCAAAGGGGGGCGTCCAAGAGGGGGGAGGTGCAAATCATGACCGGCGGGATATGCGCGGCCCAAAGGGGGGGGGCAGAGACGCCTTAAAACAAGAAGAGGCGCCGTGAGATCTGGGGAGACTTCATGGCCCCGCCATGAGATACCCCCCGCCTAGTCATGATATCCCCTCCCCTAGTAATCACCCCCCTCTTTGCCGACCCCGATTCCCGGAAGAAAACAACAAAAATCCCAGAGCTCCCCCCCCCTAGTCCTCACCCCCCCCCTAGCCGGCCCAAAGGAGGGACGCACTGAAACGAGAAGAGGCGCCGTGAGATCTGGGGAGATTTCATGGCCCCCGCCATGAGATCCCCCCCCTAGTCATCACCCCCCTCTTTGCCGACCCCGCTTCCTGGAAGGAAAAAAAAATCCCAGAGCTCCACCCCCCCTAGACATCACCCCCCTCTTTGCCGACCCCGAAATGTTGGGCCCGGGGGGCACAGAGCAGGGCCCCAGACCCCGCAAAAGGCACTGGGCCTCACCGCAGGGGCGCGCGCCCTGGCGCCGGGGCTCCCCCGCGCCGGGCCCCCACGGCCGCGGCCCCCCGGGGGCGCCCAGGGAGGCGAGGGGGGCACGCCAAGAAACACACACACACACACACACACACACGCATCCCAGGATTTCCCCCTACTGTCGGGGCGTTGACCTAAGGAACCCTAAATAAGGAACGAAGCCCCTTTTTTCCATAAGTTAAACTTCGATTTCCGATCGGAAACAGAAGGAAAACCTGAGGCAAGCTGTGAAACACTTGAGGAACGCGGAGCCCCTCCCCAACGAAAAGGGTTCCTTCTTCAGGGCCCCGACTGCAGTTTTTCCCATAGTCTCTGGGCTCTCGTCTCCCCAGCCACCTCCCACATGTTTTCCCTTCATTTTTTCTGGGGAATCGAGGATGCTTGGAGTCCATGTGCTTCTTCCCCTCCTGCCCTCCTGACAAGCCTCGGCCCGCGAGCCTCGACCGCAACGAGCGCCCCCACAAACCTCCAAAGAGCGCCCCAGAAGCCTCGATCGATCGACGGCGACGGACGACGGCGGCGCAAACGCGGAGCGCCGGGAGCGCCGGGAAGCCCCCGGAAACGAGCAACAGAAAACAAGGTCCTCGCCCGTCGACCCGTGAAGAGAACGACGACGACGACGACGAAGACGACGACGACGACGACGACGACGGCGGCGGCGGCGGCGGCGGCGGCGACGACAGCGACGCTACCTGCAGTGGTGGCGATCACGACGACGACGACGGTCCCTGGAGAGGCCCCGAGAGGTCCGCTGGAAGCCTCCCGAGCCCCGAGCAGAAGCGACCGGAAGCGTGCACGCAGAGGGCTGCCTGCCTGAGACTCGGACGGCAGGTCGTGCGCTGGGCCAGAAAAGGCGTGCGAGTGAGTCCCGATGTGCGTGGGATCAGGGTTGCCTGTCGGGCCTCGCCGCGTCCCCCCCTTTCCATGGCAGCAGGCGTGCCAGAATCTAAGCAAAATATTGAAAGAGAGTAGACCCGAAACAGCGAACACTTGCAATACTTACATACAGCGCTGGTGCAAACAAAGCAGTGCAAAGCAAAGCAGTGCGAAGCAATGCAATGCAAATCAATGCAAAGCGAAGCAATGCAATGCAAATCAGTGCAAAGCTATGTAAAGAAACGCACAGCAACGCAAAGCAATGCGACGCAAAGCAAAACAAAGCACAGCATTGCAATGCAGAGCAATTCATCGCAATGCGAAGCCATGCAAAACCATGCGAAGCGACGCAAAGCAATGAAAAGCAAAGCAAAGATGCACATCCCAATGCAAAGCAATGTAAACCAGTGCAAAACAGAGTAAAGCAAGGTAACGCAATGTAAAGCAATTCCAACCAATGCCAAGCAATGTCTAACAATGACAGGCGATGCAAAGCAATACAAAGTAATGCTAACCAACGCAAAGCAATGCAAAGCAATACAAAGCAATGAAAAACACAGCAATGCAATGCAAATCAGGGCAAAGCAATGAAAAGCAATGCACAACAACACAACGCAATACAACTTAAAGCGATTCAAAGCGAATATATGCAAAGCAAAGCAATGCAACGCAATGCAAAGCCAGGCAAAGCCATGCAAAGCGATGCAAAGCAATGCAAAGCAATGCAGAGCAATGCAAAGCAATGGAAAGCTACACAGCCCTATGCAAAACAATGCAAACCTGTGCAAAGCAGAGTAAAGCGATGCAACGCAATGCAAAGCAATTCCAACCAATGAAAAGAAATGTCGACCACTGCCAAGCAATGCCAACCACTGCCAAGCAATGCCAAGCGATGAAAAGCAATGCAAAGCAATGCAAAGCAATGCAAAGCAATGCAGATCAATGCAAAGCAATGCAACGACACGTAAAACGATACAAATCAATGCAAAGCAATGCCAAGCGACGCAGTGCGATGCGAATGCAGCAATGCAGAGCAAAGCAAGGCAATGCAAAGCAATGCAGAGCCGTGCAACGTGACACAATACGATGCGTAACAACAGTGCAATGATGGGCCTGTTTTCCACCACCACCACCATAAGTTGGAGGGAAGGTGGAAGATGAGGAGGAGGCAGGAGGAGGAGGAGGAGGAGGAGGAGGAGGAGGAGGAGGAGGAGGGGGCCCCCCTCCCTACTGATGGTGGTTGGTGTGGAAAACAAGCCCATCATGCAATACGATTGCAGGGCAGTGTCGTGCGGCGCACGTGGTGGCGACTGACGACGGCGCCTGGCGGCCACCGGCCGGCCGGATCGGCACTGGGGCCCAGCTGCCTCGGAAGAGCACTGACAGATCCACAGGCGCAGACACTGCTCGGGGAAGAAAACCTGTCTCGTGCCTCTCGGGCCGGGCGAAAGGGTGGGATAGCAAAGGGGGGGGGTGAGAACCAGCTCACGTAGCTGACTTTCCCGGCGCCTCCCGGCGCCGGAGGCGGCCATGTATCGAGGAGTGGGCCCCTCGGTGGGGCCGAAACCAGCTGCATGCAGCAGATTTCGGGACCCCCCTTTGCCAATCCCCCCCTTTCTTTGGACGCCCGAAATGGGTACCGAAAGGATGGGTACGATGCCCAACAGCAAGTGTTGTCCCAAGCCAATCGCGGCCGCTGTTGGGCGGGCGGCCTCCTGTCTCGAATGTACACAGGCCGCGGCGGCACGGACAGCGAGTCCTGTTCAGAGTGAACAAGAACTGCTGTTGGGCATTGCATCCATTCTTTCCGTGCCCATCTCGTCCGTGCAGACTTTCTAGGGCTCCCAACTTCGCGCTTCGCGCTGCGCGAAGCGCGAAGCGCGAATAACTTCGCGCTCTCGCGCCGCCCTCCCAAAGGGAGAATAGGAGGACGAGGAGGAGGGGGAGAAGGAACGAGGACCGCGAAGCGCGAAGCGCGAATAACTTCGCGCCCTCGAGGGAGCCCTTGACTTTCGTCCGGCCCGAGCCTCCATCCCCCGACGGCAGCGACGACGCCGCCGGCGGCGGCGGCGGCGAGGGCGGCACCCGCGAGATCGGCGGCGCGCGCCGCGACACGGGGGGGGCCCGCGGGGCGGTGGCCTCCCAGCAGGGCGCGGGGAGCTCCGCAGAGCAGAAGGCCGGGGGCTTCTCCGGAGCCCGCCCGGCCTCTGAGGCTGGAGGGGCCCAGGAGCACACAAGTGAATAGCCACGAATCCCAGGATTCACCGCACTTTCCCCCCTCTTCGGGGTCTTCGTCTTCGCACCCGCTTCCCACATGATCTAATGCTTTTCTGGGAGTCGACGATTACTTGTGTCTCGGATGTTTCCCCTCCTGAGAGATGGCAGCTCCACGCCCCTCGAAGCGCCGGAGAAAAACAGATATCCACGTCGGCAGCACAGGCATGCCCCGCGCGGGACGCAGACGTGCGACCGCACATCCGCGGGATCGCGCCCCGGAATCCAGACCGCGAGGGCGTGAATATTAGAGGCCTGGAACTGGGCACCAACACCAACACAGGAGGTTGCCTCCACAAGGGGAAGATGATCCTGAATTTTGGGTGTTGGTGGTAATATTTCCGCCACCTGGGAAGCCCGAACATTACCACCATCACCGAGATCGGGATCTCCTTCCCTCGCTGAAGGCACGCCGCCGATATTGGTGCTGGTGCCGACCTCTGGGACTGCGTGAATGCGGATGCGTCCGCCGCCCGAGATATGCGCAGGCCACCGTCTGCCAAGAGGCGCCCCGCCTCCTCGGCGGCCGCTCCCCTCTCGGGGATCTTCTGACCAGGGTCAATCCAGACCCGGGTCGGCAGGGAGCCAAAAAACTGCAATGCAGGAAAAAAAAAAAAAAAACTGCAGCGCAGGTCGTCGCAAACCCGGGTCAGCCAATAGGCGCGGCCGCCTCGCGGCCACGAGCGGCTGCTCGCTAGCCCCGGGTCAGCCAGAGGGGGTCTTCGCGGGATCCTGCAGGATCCGCTGTCCTGGCTGACCCCCGCTTGCATCGACCCGCGTCTCGGGGCTCCCGACCCTCGGGCCCCCCGCCAGCGCCGGCGCCGCCGACGCTGCGGCGGCGGCCCCCCCCCCCCCGAGGAGGGGCCCCACGCATATACCGAGCCGTCCGGACGGCCAAGGACCTCGGCGCCTGGACTCCACGGCTGCCCGACCTGCGGGGCGCCGACAGGTCCACACGCCAGGAGACTGGTGCGCCGAGCTCCTCCGACCTCCGGCGTGGCATTTCGCTTCCCAGCGTGGACCCCCCCACAGGCCTGGACCCCTTCCCCGGGACCCTGGTGGGGGCCCTGCCGGCCGAGCAGTGCGAAGAACCGTCCGTCGACGTTTTACTCCCGAGGAGAGGATGTCAAGGTCCTTGGCCCTTTGGCCGCCCGAACGACGTGGACTCCCCGGACCTCTCCAGGGGCGCATTCTAACTAGAATTTCAAGGCGACCGCAGCCGTCGCGACGAAGGAAGGGCAGCGGCATCGGTATGTGTTCTTCTTCGTTTTCTTATTATTATCATTATTCGTATTATTATTCTGCTTAGTATTACTCTTCTTGTTTTTCTTCTACGTCGTCAGTTTCTTCTTCTTCTGGTGTCAACACCCGAACTATCTCGCCGAGTTCCTTGGCTCCTTGGCCTGCCGAACGACGCGGTCTACGCGTCGGGCCCCTCCGACGTCCCCCCCGCCCCGAGGCCTCCCAGATGGGGCTCCGAGCACGTGGGGTCGGAGGGCGGCGCCCCCCATCGCCGAGGCACCGACAGCGCATCTCTGACGTGCCTCGCCGACGTCGGCGAGGCGTCGGCGACGTCGGCGTCGAGGAAATCGGGCCCCACGCCGAGCCCCATCGCCGATGCCTCGGCGGTGCGGCGCGATCCTCCGACCCCCCCTGCTCGGAGGCCATCCGTCGACGATCCTCACACCGTGGTGCCAATGCCAACGTGCAGTGTCCACCACCACCCTGCCGGAAGCGGCACGGCGGCAGTTTCTTAGGGCGGAGGGGGCAGGGTGAAATCCGTATGGGCATTTGCGCCTCGAAGACCAGTCCGTCTTGTGAATGCCCTTTTGCAGACTCAAGCATCGAAAACCGATCAAAACGGCATTTCGGATTCACCCTTTGCCCTCCACCCAAAGAGAATGCTCGCTTCACCCCTAGAGGCCTCCCACATGGGGTCCGAGTAGATGGGGTCGGAGGATCGCGACGCATCGCCGATACATCGGCGATGCACCGGCGATGCATCGTCGACGTGGGCGATGCATCGGCGACTCCAGCGTGGAGAAAATCGGGCTCCGCATCGCGCCGCATTGTTGATGCATCGGCGATGCGGCGCGATCCTCCGACCACATCTACTCCGACCCCATCTAGGAGGCCTCGAACCTCGGCTATACGCAAGAGTGACCCTGGGTAAGAGTGACCTTTGGTGCGCGGCTTTTTGGGGGCCGCGGGGGGACCAAACCTGGGCGCGCAAGCAGCTGCTACTGTTTCGTTTTCAGCCATCTGGGGACCCATCAGTGCCCGCACCAAAAGTCACTCCTGCGAAAAGTCACGCTTACGTCTGGCCGGGAACCCCACCCGTGCCCCCCCCCCCGCGCACCTCGCCGGCCCCACTGGCGGCTTCGCGGGCCCCACCGGCCCCCGCGCAGGCCCTGCCCGCGCCCGCGCCGCGCTCGGGGGGGCTCGGGGCCCAGACCTCCAGCGTCTTGGTTGAGGTCGGGCACGCCCCCCCGGAGGAGGCTTTCGGATGAAAAATAACAAGTATGCCAAAAATGCTCAAACAAAAACACTTGAAAGAAGAGAATCGAAGAATCGTCCCCTCTGCATCTTCTGACTCTTCTTGAAGAGTCCTCCCCTCCTGCTGTAGAGGGACAAGCCCGACTGAAGTCTCGGTGTGGTCACGTCTCGGCGGCTCCGACGGGTGTGGCTTGCAGCCCGCGCCCGGGGGGACAGGCGAGGACCTCGGAGGAGTTTTCACTCCACGCCCCGACGAGGGACGATCGAGCCCCTGGCGCAGCGCGATGCCCCCCCCGCGCCCCGAAGGCGCAGATCGCAAACCACACCCCGGCGTAACCACACCCGCTGCGCTCGCCGAACATCGCAGCGTGTTCCTTCGCTCTGGCCTCCGGGGGCCGCCTGCGGGCCCTGGGGCCGTCCAACATGGAAGCGTGACGCAGCACTGCCCCCGAAGAGGGGTCGGGGGATCCGGGGCCCCAGATTGAACAACTCATACAGGGCAGTGTTTTAATACATCGAATGTTTTAAAATATGGGATTCTTAATACATGACTAATCTATGAACAAACTGATGCATGAACTCATCGTTGTTGGTAATACTAAATCCCTGCATTTTTTTATACATGATCCGCACGCGGAGCATGTATCAAAAACGGCACTGTACTGTGAGGATGTCCGAGGAGGGGGACACGGGAGGCGGAAGGAGGAGGGAGGGGGGAGGGAGGGGAGGCAAGGATGCAGGGAGGAGGAGGAGACAAGACAAGGTACGATCACGACCAGTGGCCCTTGGATCGATGTCCTGGCAGGTGGGGAACTGCGAAGCGGCAGGCACGGAACAGCACCGAACATGAATCAGAAGGCTCTGCTCGAAACGCCTACCAGCGGCCTCGGTGGGGGATTCCGATGGCTGGGGAAAAAGAAGAAACTGACTGTTTTTCCCCCGTGAGGCCGCCTTCTCTCGGTACTGGCCTGGGTAACACCTGACCACTGCTTCAGCGCAACCTCCACTCGGTAGGGCTCGACCCTGGCGGCGGCGAATCGGTGGCGGCAGAGCAGCGGCAAGGCTTCATCGGAGGAATCTGCACTATCAGCCTGGCCCCTGGCGGACTCGAGCGAAGCCTGGACTCCGAGGACCTCCCGACACTCCGCCCATGAGCCGCTGGCCAACCTTCCGGGCCAGGTCGGCCGTCGGGCCTGGTATAGAGTTCTGTTTCTTGCTCCCATGGTAGCTAAGGACCACATCCCAGAAATAATTTCGAGCACCCGGAAAAATATCGAAGCAGTGTCGAAACAGTGTCGGACGAGTGCTTCCCAGGGCCCGACACGTGAAAACCCTCGAGTCCCACCAGCCCTCTGGGCGTAGGTGGTTTAGGGAATGTTCTCTTCCACCCCTCCTTCTTCCCCTTCGGGGAGGGGTTTACCCCTCCCCCTAACCCCCTCCCCTGGACCTGGACGGGGGGTTTCGCTGGTAGTTGGAGCGTCCAAAACGGCCTCGGCGAGGAAGCCAAAATCATCGGTTTTACTGGGGTTTTGGCCCCATTTTGGCCTCTTGGGGGGGCAGTGCTAATTGACCCCACCCTCTTCTTTGATCGATCTCCTCCAAGATGGCCCCAAGAGGCGCCTAGGAGGCCCCAAGATGGCCCCAAGATGGCCCCAAGAGGCCCCCAAGAGGCCCCCAAGAGGGCCCAAGAGGCTCCCAGGATGGTTCCAAGAGGCCTCCAAGAGGCTCCAAGAGGCCGCCATGAAGCTCCAAGAGACCCCCAAGAGGCCTCCAACAGGCCCCCAAGAGCCCCCCAAGAGGATCCCAAGCGGCCTCAAGAGGCCCCCCCGAAGCACCCAAGACGCCCAAGAGCCCCCATTGACCGCCAAGAGACCCCCAAGACGCCCGAAGAGGCTTCCAAAAGGCTTCCAAGAGGCATCCGAGCGGCATTCAACCATCCACCCAGCGTCATCATTCTCCTCATCCCTCCTTCGCTCGGTTCCTCGCCACCCCCTCATCTATCCATCTGGCCTCCTCTTCCGCCTCATCCTTTGCACGGATCGGCTGTCCCTCTCGTTGCTCCCCCACTTCCCTGATCTCTTCAACTTGCCTGGACATCGTTTCTGGATGGGCTGGTGGGGATACGCGAAGCGTCAAGAATTTCGGTACTTTGCTGGTGCTCGACATTCTTTCTGGTGGTCAAAGCTGAAGTCGGTTGGAGCATCACAAGCGTAGAGGCCCGGGAGATGGTCGGAGGCCAGTGCCAATACACATACTGGCCATCGCTCGGACGTCCACTCCCTGTGTTTTTTTCGGTCTCGTGCGTGGTTGTTTCGCCAAATGCTCAAGGATGCTCCTCGATGGTCCTCGCCGAAGGAAAAAGGCACACGTCCGAGCGATGCCGAGAAGACTCCCCTGCGGGGAACCATGTGGCATGGGGGGAGCGGATCCTGAAGGTTGAAGGGGCCCTGGACTCCGGGGCCTCCCCCCCTGGGATCCTGGATGCCACGACAAATGGACACCCTTGAAGGGGCCCCAGGACACTCAAATAACTACACACAGATAAAAAGATTCCCCATAATTTCCCATATTTTCTGGGCTTCTGTCTTCCCCCCACTTCCCATATTTTCCTGGGGGTCGACGATTAATCGTGTCTGTGTGTTTTTCCCCTCTTGAACCCTAACACAGCCCTGTCGTCGAATTGACAATGCGTGTAAAGAGTCGGAATATGCCCTGGACATGTTTAAAACATGTTTTGTTTCACATGTTTGAAACAATGTTAACTCGGGGATGGACAGACCCCCCTTTAGCAAAACGTGGTTTAGTGAAAACGACCTGAGGCCCAAACCTGGCGGGCGCAAGCCTGGAAAATAACGGCCGCGGCGCCCTCCCGAGAACCGAAAACGGCCAATTCACTAATCGACGTGTCACTGTTGGGGGTTCTGTCCGCCCCCGATTAACAGATTGTCTGATCAATGGACTCTGGGGCCCGCCCCTGGGATCCTGGATGCCACTACAGTGGACACCCTAACAGTCCGATCATCGAATCAGCAACGCGTTTAACATGTCGCAAAACGTCATGGAAATGTTTCAAACATGTTTTTTGCATGTCTGAAGCAATGCTAAGATATTGTCTGAACATCTGGAAATCATTTGGCAGCGTGCCTCCTCTCCATTCATCGTCCTCCACAACCCTAGGACGAGATCTCCACTGAATGGCTTTCTGGGGAAATCCGCTGGCCCAACGGGCCGAGCACGTGCTAACATCTCTGGCAACTGGTCAACAATATTCTCGCGCGCGGGGGGCCGCCCCTGGGGGTCCCCCCGGAAACCTGGGGGTCCCCCCGAAAGCAAAAAAAAAAAAAACTGGGCAGGTTCACGACAAGGTCCGGCAAGATCCCGGCACGCTCCAGGAGCGCTTCAAGTGGCCTCCAAGAGAGCGCACCATGGTTCGAGACGGTCCAAGAGCGATCCAAGACGCCAAAGATGACCTCCAGACAATCCAAAGCGCCTTCAAGACGCCCCAAGAGGCCTCCATGAAACCTCCCAAGAGGGCCCACAGAGGCAGAAAATAGTTATTTTCCTTTAGTTTTCGAAGGTTTTGGGCGTTCTCGCTTTTTCGGATTACCCGCGCTCCAAGACGGCCCAAGAGGCTTCCAGGATCGCCCCAACACGGCCCAAGAGGCCTCCAAGAGCGCCCAAAACGGCCCCAGAGGGCCCCAAGACAGCCCTGGGGGCCTCCAAACTGGCCGAAGAGGCTCCCAAGGCGGCTCCAAGAGCGGGTCCAGACGAGGGACCCGACCGGACATTTCGAGCTCTAGGCTCAGGGAGGCCCCCTGGAGGCGCCAAGAGGCCCCCAAAAAGCCCCCCAAGAGGCCCCCGAGAGGCCCCGGGAGCAAGGCCCCCAAGATGCCCCCGTGGCGCCCCAGCAGGTCCCAGAAATACCCCCAGGAGGCCCCCAAAAAGATGCTCCGAGAGCCCCCCAAGCGGCCTCCAAGAGGCCGCGAACGCGCAGGCAAACGCCTGCGATGGCAGCACACGGGCCAGCGGCGTGAGCGAAGCGGTTGGGGGATGGCCGGGGTGGCTTTCTCAAACAGCCCAGGGCCCCGTGGAGGGCCCCGAGAAGCAGCAAGAACAAGAGACAGCTTCAGGACGCGATTCCCTGAGGGCCCCATGGCGCGCAACACAATACCCATACTCCCCGCGCTGAGCACGGGCTCGAAGAATGGAAAAACTCTTCGCCCTTGCCATCCACAGCCACAGACCCCCTCACGGGGGGGCAAACAGTCTCGAGACCGACAGTGACCCCGACCCTCTTCTGATCGGGTTGAAGACCTTTGCACAATCTCGACCAGACTTGACTGCGAGTAGGCGGACTGTCCATCCGCGGCCACGAGGCAGAGTTCCGTTTATCAGGCTGCCTCGGGCGGCACAGCAGCCGGGGATTCCCCTGCAGGCAGGCGGGCCCACCCCGGCCGTGTTTCTCCCGACCCTCCTGCGGTTGGGCTCTCTCGTTTTGACTAGGGCACGATGGTCTCCACTGCTCCTGTTTCTCCGTCCTCTGCTCCTTCTCCGGTCCAGCGGGATGGAATTCTAAGCAGATCCAGCCGAGACCCCACATCTCCCTGGTGGACTGCTAAGTGCGCAATTGTCGCCACCTTCGTGGTCATCTGGGGCACCCAGCGGAATGTAATTCTAAACAGATCTAGCCGAGACCTCGCGGCTCAATAGTGGGTTGCAAAGTGCGCAACTGTCGCCACGTTCGTGGGCTCATGGGAGTCCAACGGGGTGGAACTGGAGGCGCGCCAGCTCGCGGCGTCGAGGGCGAAGCCGATCTTCTGTCCGAGGCGGAGCGGCGCCCTCCTTTTTCTCATCTTCCCGCGCCCCCTGCGAAAGGGGCGATCCACCCCTCCGCTACCAGGGCGAAGACGAGCCCGAGCGGCGACCCATGGCTCGAAAGCTGGGCGAGGGCTGCTAAAATCGTGGCTGCTAAAACGGCCCTCCCGGAAAGAAAGAAACAACTTCCCGGAATGAGGCGCGGCACGCGAAACAGTCAACGGGCTTCTTCCCGGAAGGACGAAGACAACCTCCCGGAGGTCGATTTCAGCAGCCACGGATTTAGCAGCCCTTGCCCGGCTTCCGACCATGGCGCGCAGAGGAAAAGGATGCCGACGCTGCTGCGGCCAGCGCTGCAGGGCGCAGGCAGCGCGAGAAAACCAAGCGCGGAAAGTGCGACGCCCACCGGAGGACGGCCCAGGGCGGGCGACCGCCCCGAGGGGCCCGCGTTTTTTTTTTGAGGGGAGCCAGCAAGAATGGACTCAGGAGGAGGGGGAGGAGGAGGAGGAGGAGGAGGAGGAGGAGGAGGAGGAGGAGGAGGAGGAGGAGGAGAAGGAGGAGGAGGAGGAGGAGGAGGAGGAGGAGGAGGCGCACCAGCCGAGACTCTCTCGGCCGAGACGCGCACCGAGCCGAGACCTTTCGGCGCCTGTGCGAGACCCCATCGCCCGAGCAGTGGGATGGTCATCCCCGTCGCGCGCCCGCGTCCAGCCGAAATCTCCAAAAGCACCCCCGGGAGGGGGGCGCGAGGGCGCCGACGCAATCGCGCGTCGCGCTCTGTGCGGCGCGAATCGCGAAGTTAGTTGACATGCTGCTGCTACGAAGGGGGCGGGTCGGATTTGTGGATGCACGCTTGGGGTCTCGCTCCGAAAGAGGGTTGCAAACGTGGAGATGACGCTCATTTCAGTCGCAGCCCAGTGGGCTCAGCACGGAGGGCAATCTCATGCCTACAGCAGTGCACTCGCATGTGGAATGAGAGCCCTCGTCCTCTCATGCATTTCGGCTCCACGCGGTCACTGCCCCGGGTCGAAGCCGCCGCCCTGCGAGCCCAGGCCAGCTTGGCAGCGCTTGGCGCAGACGCCCGCGTCGCCCATCCTTTCACTCCCAGCTTGCCGCGGAAGGCGCCCGCCCTCGCCACGGCCGAGCGGGTCCAGGGCCTTGCGGAGGAGCACCTGAAAAAAGGCGCCCACCATGGAGAGCGGGGCCCCGCCTCCGCCCCAGAGCCGCCGAGACGGCGCCGACCAGCGGGCGGCGCACGTCAAGGGAAATCCCAGAGCCGCCACGAATGCCTGTTCGATCTGGGCCACGAGGCGCTGCAGGAGATGGCGCGGGCGCAGCGGAGGCTCCGGACGTCCCAAAGCTCCGAGGCGCCGCTGGAGCCCGGCTGCCCCGCCGCCCCTGCAGTGGGGGAGAGCGGCGGAGTCCTGGTTCCGGGTTCGTGGTTCCAGGGCTCTTGATTTCGCGTTCCAAAGGTTTCGGGTTCGATCCATCGATCGAGTGAGATCGATCTCAATATCGATCTCACTATCAATCTCACTCCCGATTGCATTATGAAACTCACTGTCGATCTCACGATCAGCCTCATACTCACACCAAATTTGCAAATCATCCGCTGGTGCATTTTTCAATGCGTTGGATCTCTTGTCCTCTGGAGACACTGGAAACTCAGAATCGGATCAGAATCGGTCCCCAGACCCCCCCCCGGAGTCCAGACGCACAAGCTTTCCGAGCTGCGACACGCCGTCGCAACCAGGGCCCCCCCCCGAAGGCCAACAACTGGTCTCAAGCGGCCATGGGCTGACTCCCCCCCTCCTCCTCCTCCTCCTCCTCCTCCTCCTCCTCCTCCTCCTCCTCCTCCTCCACCTTCTCCTCCCCCTCCTCCCTCCTCCTCCTCCTCCTCCACCTGCTCCCTCTCCTCCTGCTCCTCCTGCTCCTGCTCCTGCTCCTGCTCCTGCTCCTGCTCCTCCTCCTCCTCCTCCTCCTCCTCCTCCTCCACCTCCTCCTCCTCCTCAACCACCTGCTCAACGGCGGAGCTGAAAGAGGAGGCCGCCGCGGCCCGCTGCCCCCCATCCCCAGGCCAACCGAGCGGGGGAGAGTGAAAGCAGCCGCAGCAGCCCTCCCTCCCTTCCTCCCTGCTCCCTCCCTCCCTCCCTCGCTCCTCCTCCTCCTCCTCCTCCTCCTCCTCCTCCTCCTCCGCCTCCGCCTCCGCCGCCCTCCTCCCTCCTCCTCCTCCTCCTCCTCCTCTCCTCCTCCGCCTCCTCCTCCCCCTCCCCCTCTTCCCCCTCCTCCTCCTCCTCCTCCTCCCCCTCCTCCTCCCTCATCCTCCTCCTCCTTCTCCTCCTCCTCCTCCTCCTCCTCCTCCTCCTCCTGCTCCTGCTCCTGCTCCTCCTCCTCCTCCTTCTCCTGCTACTCCTCCTACTCCTCCACCTCCGCCTCCTCCTCCTCCTCCTCCTCCTCCACCTGCTCAGCCCAAGAGCTGGCGGAGCTGGAGGAGGAGGCCGCCGCGGCCGCTGCCCCCCTCCCCAGGCCAACGGAGCGGGGGGGATAGAGAGAGAGAGAGAGAAAGAGAGAGAGAGGAGCAGCTGCAGCAGAAGCAGCACAGTCGAACTCTTGCATTTCCGTGAGATTGATGGGCCTGTTTTCCACCACCACCACCACCACCACCACCACCACCACCATCATCATTAAGTTGGAGGGGGAGCTGGAGGAGGCCGCCGCGGCCGCTGCCCCTATCCCCAAGCCAACCGAGCGGGGGGGAGATAGAGAGAGAGAGAGAGCAGCTGCGGCAGCAGCAACACAATCGAACTCTTGCACTTCCGTGAGCTGGTCCTCCTCTTGGCTGCCACCCCCCGTCGCTCCGACGGCCCCCGGCGGCGGGCCGGCCGGCCCTGGCGGCCCGCGCTGCGGCCCCTGCGGGCCGACGGGACCGCGCGCCGGGCCGGGCGGCCCTCGCGCGCCAGGGCCGACGGGTCCTCGCGGGAGGCGGGCGGTGAGCTGCAGACCGCCTCGAGACGTCGGCGTCGGCGTCGTCGCCGACGGCGTCGTCGTCGGCGGGTGCGTCGTCGTCAGAGGCGGCGGCGTCGGCGTCGCCGTCGTAGTCGTCGTCGTCGTCAGCCGCGGCGGCGGGGGAGTCGGCGTCGTCGTCCTCATCGTCGTTGTCTTTGTCGTCGTCGTCGTCCTCGTCGTCATCGTCGTCGTAATCGTCCTCGTCGTCGGCGGCGTCGGCGTCGGCGTCGGCGTCGGCGTCAACGTCATCGGCGGCGTCGGCGTCGGCGTCGGCGTCGGCGTCATCGTTACGAATTGTCGTCCTCGTCGTCCTCGTCGTGGGCGAAGCGGAACGCCGGGGGGGCGTCGTCGGCGTCGTCGTCGGCGGCGTCGTCGTCGTCCTCGGCGTCGGCATCGGCATCGACGTCGGCGTCGGCGTCGGCGATGACGTCGACCATGCCGTCGGCGTCGTTGTCGACGTCGGCGCCGGCGTCGGCGTCGGCGTCGTCGGCGTCGGCATCAACGTCGGCGTCGGCGTCGGCGTCGGAGTCGTCATTCTCGTTGTCCTCGTCAGCGTCGTCGCCCTCGTCGAAAAACGGCGCCGGCGGGGGGCGGCCACAAAAAACCTTCGCGCCATCGTCGGCGTCGTCGTCGTCTGCGGCGTCGGCGGCGTCGGCGTCGGCGACGGCATCGACGTCGGCATCGGCATCGGCGTCGGCGTCGGCGTCGTCGTCGGCGTCGGCGTCGTTGTCGTCGGCATCGTCGTCGGCGTCCGCGTCGGCGTCGTCGTCATCGGCGTCAGCGTCGGCGTCGTCGTCGGCGTCGGCATCGTCGTGAACCTCGTCGTCGTCCCGTCGTGCTCGTCGTCGTCGAAACGAATCGCTCACGGGCCACCATTGTCGTCGTCGTCGGCCGCGTCGGCGGCGTTGTCGTCGTCGGCGTCGGCGTCGGCGTCGGCGTCGTCGTCGGCGGCGTTATTATCGTCGTTGTCGTCGTCGTAGTCGTCGGCGTCGGCGTCAGCGTCGGCGTCCTCGCCAACGTCGGCCTCGTCGTCTTTGTCGTCGCCGAAACGGAAAGCTAGCGGGAGGCGGCCGCAGACAACCCTCGCGCCGCAGTCGTCGTCGTCGTCGTCGTCGCCGTCGCCGCCGTCGTCGGCGTCAGCGTCGGAGTCGGCATCGGCATCGGCGTTGACGTCAGCATCGGCGTCGGCATCGGCGTCGGCGTCGGCGTCGGCGTTGTCGTCGGCGTCGGCGTCGTCGTCCCCCCCGTCGTCGTCATCGTATTCGTCCTCGTCGTCGTCACAGCGGTGCGCTGGCGGAGGGCGGCCGCAGACCACCCTCGCGCCGCCGTCGTCGTCGTCGTCGGGAAGCGGGGGCGTCGTCGGCGGCGGCGTCAGCATCGGCGTCGGCGTCATCGGCGGCGTCGGCGTCGACGTCGCTGTCGGCATCGACGTCAGCGCCTGCGTCGGCGTCGGCGTCATCGTCGGCGTCGGCGTCGTCGTCGTCCTCCTCCTCGTCGTCGTCGCATTCATCCTCGTCGTCGCCAAAAGCGGAGCGGCGGCGGGAGGCGGCCGCAGACCGACCTCGCGCCGTCGGCGTCGGAGTCGGCGTCGTCGTCGTCGGCGGCGTCGTCGGCGTTGTCGTCGTCGTCGTCGTCGTCGTCGGCGTCGGCGTCGGCGTCAGCGCGGGCGTCGGCGTCAGCGTCAGCGTCGGCGCCAGCGTCGGCGTCGACGTCGTCGACGCAGGGCGTTAGCAGGGTGCGGCCGCAGACCGCCCTCGCGCCGCCGTCGACAGAGCACGACAGAAGGGTCCTAGCCCCCCTTCCGAGAATGGAATGTCCTGTTTTACAAAGCCACAACGGCTTGGTCTAAAACGGTAGCACTCAAACATGCATGCAAACTCACACGTTACAAATTCGCCTCGACCCTCGTTGGGGCCTCAATCACATTACAAAGGGTTCCGATTCTCGCCGCCCCTTTTGGGACGGGGTGACCCACTGCCCGCATTCCGGTCCACCAAAGAAAAAAAAACAGCCAATCCGTATGACCAGCCGCTGGAAACCCAGCCCGAGACGTTCACGGAAAAATGCACGTGTAGCGGCTCCTCCACTGCCTGCTGCTCAAGCTCCTCCGTGATCGCCCTCTCCTCTGCATCCGCTGGTCCAGCACCTGCAGCTCCAGCCTCCGACTCGGACGCCCGCCTAGACCAGGCAGAGACTTGCGCCTATCGGCCTTGCGGGCGATCGCCCTGCCTTGGAAAACCCGAGCCTCCTCCTTCACGACGGTGCAGCGGCAGGACGTAGACCTTCTGCTCCCTAGTGAATGGGATCACGTCCCGGGTATACTTCACGATGATCCTGCTGGCGTCGAGGCCGCCAGCACTGTCGAACTCCACTCGCATTCCTCGGTCAACCATCTCATTGAGCGACACCGGCACCCCGTGGACCTGCGTCGCGCGAAACCTGGCCGCGAGCAGGGGCCCCTTGCAATGCGCCTGCCCGCTCGCGACCATCGAGACTCGATCGTAGATCTTCTCCTTCGTCGCCGCGCAGCATGATCCGCCAAGCCCGTCCTTCTTCAGCGGTACCTCCAGGAGCCAACTCTCTCGCAGCTCCGAAACCGCCGCACATGAGTCGACCCCGATCTACACCGCCCGGCCATTCGTCGTACCGGCGTCGGTACCCTGGCTCAGTCCGCAGATGAACAGGCCCTCCACTCGCTTCTCCTGCTCTGGCTCCGCGCGGTCGTGCTCTCCGTCGTCCTTGCCAGTCACTGTCCTTGTCGAGCGCATTGATGTTCTTGGTCGGGCACTGCGCCTGCGCATGTCCTGTGCCACCACAATTGGATCACTGTGTTGGGCCGCTCTTGCCATTGCCGTTCTCGCCCTTGCACTTGCCAAATCCTTTCGGCATCTTAAGTGGGGCGCTGCCCCGGGGCTGATGCGCACCACCTCCAGGTTTCCTGCAATCCTTCTCGCAGTGCCCGTGGCCGCCGCAGTAGTGGGACGCAACGCCTGGCTTGTCTTCCCCACCTCCCAACGCGCCAATGTCCATCGGGGTCGGGCAATTCGCGTCTGCCACAGTCGTCGTTGCCCGCCCGTAGCTCACGATCTCCGTTTCGAAATCAACCCAGCTCGTTTAATGTTCGAGTTCAGGAGATGACCCTCCAAGGCCCCCTTCTCGAGACCCTTCAGCACCATCCCCAAAAGAAGGTTCAGGCTGATCTTCTCGCCCGACCTCAGCTCATATCTCTGGATCTCACTCTAGAACAACTCGACGCGGGACTGGATGTCGCCTGCAAAGCTCCATTTCATCAGGTGGACAAGGAGGCCCGCCAATCTGGTTGCTGCAGCACTGTTGTACCTCTGATTGGGTTGTCTCCACTCTTGCAGACCCTCTCCAACTCCACTGTTCACCACGATGTTGAGCGGCTCAGTTCGTGTCAGCATCACAAGCACGTAGTAGAGAGACGTGCTCGCTTCGGCGGCCTCTCCGCCGAGCTCGTCGTTCGTCATTGCCTCGACTGGCGCCTCCGCCGCAGGCATGGGCCCAACCAACACACTGCTGCACAGGCCCGCATACGCTCTGATAGCTTTAGTCCAGTCGGCCCACTTCGCTTCCGTTCCTCGAAAGTGTCCGGCCGACCCAGCGTACGCGTGCCCACACCGAAGTAGTTCCCTGCTTGCTCGGCGCCGCCTCCAGGGCGGCCTTTGCCCTTGGCCCCGCCTGCGACGGCGGCCTCCTCGGACGGCGGCCTGAACGGTTCTGTTGGCGGCGGCCTCTGCGGCCTCCGCACGCTGTATCGCAGCCTGGGAAGCTTGCTCCACCTGTGCCATCTCTGCGCCATCGCCATCGTGACTCGGGCTTTGGCGCAATATCACTTGACCCCCTCCGTCTTCCGACCTCGTGCCTTGATCTCCTTCGAGAGCGAGCCGAGGGCAACCCAAGTCCTGCGCCTCAGCGCCACTCTTTTCACCCCCACGAAGATCTTCGCCCACCGATCTGTGATATCGACGGCGTCCCAATCCCTCTCGTTCTCCGGCGCGGCCTCGCCAGAACCCGCAGCGCTCTTCGCTACCGTGAGAATGGAATGCCCCGTTTTACACAACCACAACAGTTTGATCAAACAACGATAGCAGTAACACATGCATACTCACACGAAACACATTCGCCTCGAGCTTTCTTGGACGATCAACTACTTTGCAAGGGGCTCCGAGTATCGCCACCCTCGATCCATATATATATATATATTTACACATGTACATATATATATATATATATATGAATGAAACTGATAATCGCATATATTTAATATTTCGATGTTTGTAAACTCTTTATAAGAATTGTGTTTAAAAAAAAGAGGGCTGCCGCTATCTCCGGTCTGCAGGGGGGGCCCTCGCCTGGCCCTGGGACTGTACAAAATGGACTCAGGATGAAAAGCCGGCCCCTGTGATGGGTCGAGACTTCTCGGGGTGGAGGCCCAGAGGAGGAGGTGGAGGAGAAGGGGGGGAGGAGGAAGAGGAGGACCCTGAGATCCGGCCGTCACATTGTTATCACAGGAGGCGTCTCCACCAAGCGGACCTTCCCCTCAATGGCAGGCCAGTGGGGCGGTTGTCTCTCGGCGGCGTACTTGTCGCAGCGGACAGGACATCCCACCAGCCCTCTGGGCGTAGGTGGTTGAACGACGCTTGCCGTCTCCGAAACAAAGCCTAACCTTCCCCTGCTCGGGGGAGGGGATATGGCTATACACCCCCGCCGAACATGCTGAGGCTCGGGTGCTACTGATGTGTTGGGAGAGCGGGTGGGAGGGAGCTAGACGGCATGCTATCTAGGGGGTGTCTTGACCCCTCCCCCATACCCCCTCCCCTGGGTCTGGACGGGGCGTCCCGCAAGGGGTCCGAGCACCCAAATCGATGCCATTCTCAGCCAGAGTCAAGCGTACAACATCGGATAGAACTCCAGCGTCCGCGAAAGGCGTGAAGGCGCCTGCGACAACTTCTGCAATCGCCCGAGGGCCCTGAGCAACAAGTGTACCAAGCAGAGCAGCCATCTGTGGAAGGAGCAAGAGGAGGAGGAGGAGGAGGAGGAGGAGGAGGAGGAGGAGGAGGAGGAGGAGGAGGAGGAGGAGGAGGAGGAGGGGGAGGGGGAGGGGGGAGGGAGGGCGACGGCACGAGGCGCGGGGCGTCCTCTCGAGGGGCCCGCCGCGACGGTGGGGCCCAGGGAGGGGCCGACCATGCTCGGGTTCTGCAGCCTCGCCCGCTTCGGCGGCACCTTCTCGTAGGCCTGCTTGCCGCTCCTCTCGTGCGCACGCCCGCGGGCGGGGGGCGGGGAGCGCTCCACGGGGGCCATGCCATGCTGGCCCTCGGCCCGTCTCCCCCCCCCTCCGCCCCCCCTCCACCCCCGACCGTCTCCCAGCCTCCCTCTCCCTCCTGCGGGGGCAACGATGGGAGGAGGGGGGGGGGGAACAGCTCAGGGGGAGAGACATCGGGCATGGCTCGGCGATGCGTCGCCGATGGATCGGCGATGGGCCCCCGATGGCAGAACCGCGCGCTGCTGGGCGAGGTGGGCTATCAGGCCCATGCCGGCGATGAACGGGCGATCAGGGAGGTCGATGCATCTCCCCCCCGAGGAGTATCCCCCGCCCCCAAACGATGCCCCAGACCCTCCCCCCTCCTTCGTCCCGCCAGCAGGCGGAACGCTACCGTCCTCATTACACCATCTGTCAGCGAGAGTTCCCCACAAGGGCCCCGTGCTCTCAGCGCACGCCCTTCTGACAAAGGGCCCTTCCGATCAGAGCCCTCCAAACGGGGGCCTAGCGAAACGGGGGCCCAGGTGCTTCCATGTGCACCCGCAGCCCAGGACCCCCTGGACAGGGGCACAACCAAACGTGGAAATCAACGCTCCCCGTGCCCCCGTCTGCTGGGACCCCATCACCCGCGCCCTCACCCGATCCGAGCGTGCGCTCACCGGGCAGTGCCCCTCTGGCAGAGCGTCCTTCCAGGCAGGGCCGCTCCGCAGAGGTTCCGGGACGTACCCTCGCGATGTGCTCTCCCCGTACGCGGAGGGTACGGGGGGTCCCGCTGCTGTCACGTCCCACCCGATCGATGCCGTCGCAGTCCTCCTCGTCCTCCTCCTCCTCCTCCTCCTCCTCCTCCTCCTCCTCCTGGTTCCTGACTCTTGTCGGCATTGGTGTTCTCCGAATGCTGCCGCTTCCTCCTCCTCGCCCTCCTCCTCCTCCTCCTCTTCCACCTCACTCTCCTCCTCCTCTGGCTCCCAAATTCGCTTGCACCCCCTGCCACTCATCCCCCTCGATGTGTGTATTCACTGTTCCTCCTCACCCCGGCCTCCCACACCCTCTCGTCCGCCATCTCCTCCCTGCCGTCCTCATTCTAATCCCACTCTGGGTATCTGGCAGATGGTTTGGCATTTGGTATGCCGCGCCACAGTGACTCGGGCGGATGCCCAAAATCTTCATCCATGCACCGATTGCCACTGATCCACTGATGCCTAAGACCCATGCAGTCTGAACCGAACGTGCGAGAGCCCGAGAATCGGGGATGTGTGTGAACTGGCCATGAGAAGGAATACACTCTAGATTGCCCCATCGTGCTGTGGTTGTGCGAGACACGGTCGTGATGATGGCGATACTGCGGCTGATGGTGTAAAACTGAAAATCCGTAGCAGGGATACGATGCAAGCATGCAGGTCACTCGGGCGCCCATGCTAAAACGGATGAAGCGACCTCAGGCCGCAAGATGGGATGAAGATTGACCAAAGAAGCAAGGATGCCAGGGTGGCCCTATGAACCACTGCATCCTTACCTGCATCCCTCGACTGTGGAAAGAGGTGTCCTGAGCTCTTCGTCAAGGGCTTTCAGCTGCGCCGTGAAGCCCTCGTTCGGGCACGCCTGCGCCCTGGCGCTCTTCGCCAGCGACAGGGCGACGTCGAAATCCTTCCTGTCATGAATAACAACAAGTTTGGGGGGGAAGTAGTGGACGGATGCTGTTCGGGCAGAGAGTCTCCAGAGAGGTGCCCCTTCGCACCAGGTCGGCGCCAGCGCTGGGGCGGCGCTGATGCCTGATTTCTGAGGAAAAGGCGAAGAAGAGAGAAGCGAGCCCAAGGCGAGAAGAGAGAGAGAGAGAGAGGGATGTTGGCAAAGAGCTGCGCATAGACAGCCCCTGGAGGCAGCCCCGGATGGCCTCTGACTGCCCTGGGGACTGTTCGGGCTTGCCACGAATTTCTCTTGAGGGCTGTCTGTGCCCTGCGCGTAAGAAGGCTGGGAGAAGAGGAAAGGCGCCATCGCACTGGGCAAGAACAGCTCCATGACTCCGGATCCGGGCCAGCCCTTTGGACGACCTCGTGGCGAAGACACTGAGCCCCACGCACGTTCGAGACTTACTGCATGAGAGGCTGAAGGCGGAACTATATTGGGCGACCTCGACTGAATGTGTACAAGGTCAAGAGCTGTAGACGAAGAGACCAGGGGGAATGAAACCGATGAGGGGTGAACCATCAGACAAAGAAGAATGCGCAACCGCACCACATAATCGGCCAGGACTGGACAATCGGCATGACGAAGTATGCCTAGAAAGAGGAACAACAAAACTGCAAAAACACAAACTGTCGGATCTGCATGCGAATTTCTTGCATCAGCGCGGAAAGCGCCAGGGGCGGCGCTGGAGGCGCCGCCAGGGGGCCCAGCGCCGATCCAAGAAATCCGAGCGGAGCGCCGAAAGTTTATGTTTACGCAGCTACTGCCTCTGCGATTCACACGATCCTGCCTCTTCGCATTCCGAAAACGCATGTTTATACGAAAATCGTCGTCGCCCGCAGCCGCCCAAGAGGGGAAGTGAGCACGGCGGCAATTGCTCCTCGCACGCGCGGGCCATGGCCGCGCAGCATGCGGCATGTCATCGCCCCCTCCTCGCCCTCGTCCTCGTCCTGACCCTCATCGTCTTCCTTTTCCTTCTGCTCCTCTTCCTCGCCGCTGTGGTCGTCGTGGTCGTGGTCGTGGTCGTGGTCGTGGTCGTGGTCCTGGTCGTCGTCGTCGTGGTCGTGGTCGTGGTCGTCGCCGTCACCGTGGTCGCCGTCGTCGTCGTCGTCCTCCTCCTCCTCCTCCTCCTCCTCCTCCTCCTTCCCTCGCCCTCGCGCCAGCAGTGCGAGCCTTGGGGGGCCGCCTGCCGCGACGTGCTGTGCACGCTCCCCGCGCGGCAGCGGCGAGGGGCGGGCGCCGCACCCTGGCCGCGGCAGTCCACCGGCATTTACCAAGCACGAAGGACCAGGACGCTCTGGAGGGGGCATGCCGACACTCCATCATCCTCCTCCTCCTCCTCCTCCTCCTCCTCCTCCTCTTCCTCCTCCTCCTCCTCCTCACTCCTCCTCCTCCTCCTCCTCACTCCTCCTCGTCCTCCTCCTGCTCATCTCTTCCCCCCCGTCCCCATCTCTTCCCCCTCGTCCCCATCTGGGGCCCCGCGTCCCCATCCTGGGGATCATCGTCCCCGTCATGGGCCCCCCCCTTCCCGTCCTGGGGCCCCTCCCACACCGCCGCAGCCGCCGCCGCCGCTAGCGCTGCCGCCGCCGCTGCCGCTGCCGCAGGACCCACTCCCGAAGTGGCTGTACGGTCAACCGGTGGTGAGGGCCTTGGAGGGACGTGTCGACACTTAGAAAACGGTGCGCGGCCAGCGAAAGCGGCCAAGGATTGGCCACACGGGACGGATGCAAGTGTAACGTTGGGAAACCGCTCATCCTTACTGTGCGGGTTGACTGTAAGGATGCACGATTCTCAACTGAACAGCCCTCGCCATCGCGCGGACGTACATTCCCCGTGCATGTTTCGGATCCGTGCGTGTATTTTTCCAGAAGAAGACCCACAAGGCTCCTCGATGGTCCTCACCAAGAAACATGCACACGTCCGAGCGATGCCAAGAGCCGCCACGAAGCAACCAGGTTCGAGCACCTCGTCGAAGATGTTGCGCGCTGCCTCCGCGTGGACCCTGCAACCTCGAGGAGCGCCTCCAAAGGCCTCAACAACAGGACCTCGTCCTTATCCTATTTCTTCTCCATCCTTCCTGTCACGTAGTCCGCCGCAGTGCCTTCAGCGCGTAGTGGAGTGGCCCAAGGCTCATACAAGTGTGATGGCCAGGGAGCGTCTAGGATAAGAACGATACCATGTTAGGATTGGCTCAAGATACGTTTCAGGACTTCCACAAAGTATTTGGCGGCCCTCGTTTGTGCAGCCCGTGTGGAACAGTTGGGAATCTTGGAAACCCCGGAAATCTAAGGAGGGTCCCAAGACGACCCCTCAGCAGCCCGAGACAGCCACAAGACGGCCCGTCGCTCTAACAATTCAAAACTTTAGACACACGAGCATGGCTTTGCTACTGCGTCCATAAGCCCGAACCGCCCACATCACTCGGGTGCTCGCATTTCGCCCGGTCGGACAAGTCGGCCCCGCAAAAAGAGTCCTGACAAATCACCCTCATACAGTCAACCCGCATAGTAAGGATGCGCGATAAGGATGCAAGAGCCTTGGACGCCCATGTCGAAGCTTTCCGAGAAGGGCGCGGCCAACGAAAATGGCCAAGGATGGGCCGAGGAGGCCAGGATGTACGGGTACCCCTTGGGAAGGTTGCCCATCCTCACTATGCGGGTTGACTGCATCAGGATGCGAGGCGAGTCCCGAGAGGGCCCCGAGGGTCCTGGGAGGGTCGCAACAGGGCCACGAGAGTGTCCCGAGAGTGTCCCGAGAGGGCTATCAGAGGCTCTGTCGGGAAGCTATGCACAGAAATTCCTTGACGGGCCAGGCCATTGAGAGGGTCCTGAGAGGGTCCTCACAGGGCTCTCGAGGGCCTCCTGAAAAGGCGAGGTGATTGCCCGAGAGACTACGAGGGGGTCCTGGGAGGATCCTGGGAAGACTCCTGAGCGGGTCCTGAGAGGCGGCTGAACTGGGAGTCGGGCTTTCGAGATTCCAAAGTGTGAAAAATTTTTGAAGTCTGGTTTCGGCCGGAACAGCACACGTTTTCCAACCATCCTGTGGGGTTGGGTCCTTGCTTAGAAAAGACAACGCCGCGAGGTCACTCCGTTCCTTCCTCCTCCTTCTTTCCATCTTTCCATCCCTGCTTCGGCCCTGCAGATGCCCTCATCTCTTCACTATCAAGCGCACCCGTGCCCGATTCGACACACCCCTCACACAGATCGTGGGCCCTTAAAAGGAGCTCCACCGAGAGCCCCAGCGGCAAGGTCCGCACGACGTATCCGCGCCCGATTGGGCACACCAGCCACTCGGTTTTTTGCCCCCGACGGGAGCACCGAAGGCCCCAGCGGCAGGGTCCGCATGGCGCAACCCGCGACCGATCGAGCACACCCCACACGCTTCATGGCCCCATAGGGAGCTCCACCGAAGGCCCAAACAGCGGGTTCCGCATGGCGTACCCGCACACGATTCAGCACACCCCTCACACGCTTCGTGGCCCAATAGGGAGCTCCACCGAAGGCCCCAGCGGCAAGGTCCGCACGGCGTATCCGCACCCGATTCGGCACACGTGTCACACGCTTCGTGGCCCAATAAGGAGCTCCACCGAAGGCCCCAGCGGCAAGGTCCGCATGGCGCAACCCGCACCCGATCCAGCACACCCCTCACACGTTTCGTGGCCCCACAGGGAGCTCCACCGAAGGCCCCAGCGGCAGAGTCCGCATGGCGTGCCCGCACACGATTCAGCACACCCATCACCCATCACACTTTTCGTGGCCCCATAGGAGGCTCCACCGAAGGCAGCAGCGGCAGGGTCCGCATGGCGCACCAGCACCCGGTTCGGCACACCCCCTTACACGTTTCGTGGCCCCATAGGAGTTCCACCGAAGGCCCCAGCGGCAGGGTCCGCATGGCGCAACCCGCGACCGATCCAGCACACCCCACACGTTTCATGGCCCCATAGGGAGCTCCACCGAAGGCCCAAACAGCGGGTTCCGCATGGCGTACCCGCACACGATTCAGCGCACCCATCACCCATCCCACTTTTCGTGGCCCCATAGGAGGCTCCACCGAAGGCAGCAGCGGCAGGGTCCGCATGGCGCACCAGCACCCGGTTCGGCACACCCCTTACACGTTTCGTGGCCCCATAGGAGTTCCACCGAAGGCCCCAGCGGCAGGGTCCGCATGGCGCAACCCGCACCCGATCCAGCACACCCCACACGTTTCATGGCCCCATAGGGAGCTCCACCGAAGGCCCAAACAGCGGGTTCCGCATGGCGTACCCGCACACGATTCAGCGCACCCATCACCCATCACACTTTTGGTGGCCCATTAGGAGGCTCCACCGAAGGCAGCAGCGGCAGGGTCCGCATGGCGCACCAGCACCCGGTTCGGCACACCCCTTACACGTTTCATGGCCCCATAGGAGTTCCACCGAAGGCCCCAGCGGCAGGGTCCGCATGGCGCAACCCGCGACCGATCCAGCACACCCCACACGTTTCATGGCCCCATAGGGAGCTCCACCGAAGGCCCAAACAGCGGGTTCCGCATGGCGTACCCGCACACGATTCAGCACACCCATCACCCATCACACTTTTCGTGGCCCCATAGGAGGCTCCACCGAAGGCAGCAGCGGCAGGGTCCGCATGGCGCACCAGCACCCGGTTCGGCACACCATCACCCATCAACTTTCGTGGCACCATGAGGAGGCTGCACCGAAGGCAGCAGCGGCAGGTCAGCATGGAGCACCAGCACCCGGTTCGGCACACCTCTTAAACGTTTCGGTGGCCCCATGAGGAGTTCCACCGAAGACCCCAGCGGCAGGGTCCGCATGGCGCACCCTGCGACCGATCCAGCACACCCCACACGTTTCATGGCCCCATAGGGAGCTCCACCGAAGGCCCAAACAGCGGGTTCCGCATGGCGTACCCGCACACGATTCAGCGCACCCATCACCCATCACACTTTTGGTGGCCCATTAGGAGGCTCCACCGAAGGCAGCAGCGGCAGGGTCCGCATGGCGCACCAGCTCCCGGTTCGGCACACCCCTTACACGTTTCGTGGCCCCATAGGAGTTCCACCGAAGGCCCCAGCGGCAGGGTCCGCATGGCGCAACCCGCGACCGATCCAGCACACCCCACACGTTTCATGGCCCCATAGGGAGCTCCACCGAAGGCCCAAACAGCGGGTTCCGCATGGCGTACCCGCACACGATTCAGCGCACCCATCACCCATCCCACTTTTCGTGGCCCCATAGGAGGCTCCACCGAAGGCAGCAGCGGCACGGCCCGCCATGGCGCACAGCACCCGGTTCGGCACACCCATTAGACCATTACACGCTTCGTGGGCATGGCCCCACGGAGTTCCACCGAAGGCCCCAGGCGCAGGTGTGCCGATGCGCAACCGCGACCAGATCCAGCACACCCCACACGTTCTCATGGCCCCATGGGAGCTCCACGGAAGGCCCAAACAGCGGGTTCCGCATGGCGTACCCGCACACGATTCAGCACACCCATCACCCATCACACTTTTCGTGGCCCCATAGGAGGCTCCACCGAAGGCAGCAGCGGCAGGGTCCGCATGGCGCACCAGCACCCGATGCGGCACACCCCTTACACGTTTCGTGGCCCCACAGGAGTTCCACCGAAGGCCCCAGCGGCAGGGTCCGCATGGCGCAACCCGCGACCGATCCAGCACACCCCACACGTTTCATGGCCCCATAGGGAGCTCCACCGAAAGCCCAAACAGCGGGTTCCGCATGGCGTACCCGCACACGATTCAGCACACCCATCACCCATCACACTTTTCGTGGCCCCATAGGAGGCTCCACCGAAGGCAGCAGCGGCAGGGTCCGCATGGCGCACCAGCACCCGATGCGGCACACCCTACCACGTTTCGTGGCCCCCACAGGAGTGGCCACCGAAGGCCCCAGCGTGCAGGGTCCGCATGCATGGCGCACCCGCGACCGATTCCAAGCCACCCCACACGTTGTTATGGCCCCATAAGGGAGCTCCACGAAAGCCCCAAACAGGGGGTCCGCATGGCGTACCGCAACGATTCAGCACCACCCATCACCCATCACCATTTTCGTGACCCATAGGAGGCTCCACCGAAGGCAGCAGCGGCAGGGTCCGCATGGCGCACCAGCACCCGATGCGGCACACCCCTTACACGTTTCGTGGCCCCACAGGAGTTCCACCGAAGGCCCCAGCGGCAGGGTCCGCATGGCGCAACCCGCGACCGATCCAGCACACCCCACACGTTTCATGGCCCCATAGGGAGCTCCACCGAAAGCCCAAACAGCGGGTTCCGCATGGCGTACCCGCACACGATTCAGCACACCCATCACCCATCACACTTTTCGTGGCCCCATAGGAGGCTCCACCGAAGGCAGCAGCGGCAGGGTCCGCATGGCGCACCAGCACCCGATGCGGCACACCCCTTACACGTTTCGTGGCCCCACAGGAGTTCCACCGAAGGCCCCAGCGGCAGGGTCCGCATGGCGCAACCCGCGACCGATCCAGCACACCCCACACGTTTCATGGCCCCATAGGGAGCTCCACCGAAGGCCCAAACAGCGGGTTCCGCATGGCGTACCCGCACACGATTCAGCACACCCATCACCCATCACACTTTTCGTGGCCCCATAGGAGGCTCCACCGAAGGCAGCAGCGGCAGGGTCCGCATGGCGCACCAGCACCCGATGCGGCACACCCCTTACACGTTTCGTGGCCCCATAGGAGTTCCACCGAAGGCCCCAGCGGCAGGGTCCGCATGGCGTAACCCGCGACCGATCCAGCACACCCCACACGTTTCATGGCCCCATAGGGAGCTCCACCGAAGGCCCCAGCGGCAAAATCCGCGAGACGTATCCGCCCGCGCCCTAGTCGGCACACGTGTCCACACGCTTCATGACCCCGTAAGGAACTCCACCGAAGGCCCCAGCGGCAGGGTCCGCATGGCGTGCCCGCACCCGATCCAGAACAGCCTTCACACGCTTCGTGGCTCCATACGGTGCTCTGGCCAAGGGCCGAGTGGCATGGTCCGTACGGCGCACCCGCCCCGTGTCAGCACACCCATCACGCCTTCCCCCCTGCGTCTTCTCAGTTGCCTCGCGGTACCCGCAGCTTCATATGGTTGCGCCCTTCGCCAGGATCATTGTTTTTCGCAATGGTTTCGGAATGGTTTCGGGCAGATGATGACACGACCGCACAAACAGGAATACTACTCGCCAAAAACAGAATTGAAAACAACGGGCACTGGGGAGCAGCCTCTGGGACGCCGCGAAGAGACCCGATCGCTCTCTGGCACTACAATCAAGCCATGAGGAACGCTACAGTCCGGGCTGAACCTGAAAAGTGTTTTTCGCTTTCGTTTTGTTGTCGTTGTCCTTCGTTGTGTCTTCAATACAGCTTTACCGCAAAACGAGCTCGAAACGAAAACGGCCCACGAGATCGCCAACACACCGTTTAGGTCCACCCCTGCGCTACATGAGGAACGAAGCCCATCTGGGGCCCCGAGTGCGCCTGAGTGCAGGGGAAGCGCCAGAGGGACAGCCATGGATGGACCTGAGAGACAGCGAGCCGCTGCTGAACCTGGTGCCGCGACGAGACTGCCGCCCCCCACCGCAGCACGAGAGTCCTCCTCCTCCACGGCAGAAGAGCCCAGAATCGAATCGATAAATCGAATCGGCGATCGAAATTCATCGAATCGGCGGAAATCGGCGGCCAAGTCGGGAGGAGTCGAATCAGCAGACATCGGCAGAGTAGTAGTAATGCCTCACTGAGAAATCGGAATCCAAATGGGAATCCAAAATCGAATCGAATCGGAATCGGAATCCATCGAAATCGAATCGAATCGAATCGGAGGAATCGAAACGAGCCCTGCCACGATGCTACACGGCTCGGATGCCTCAAGATTGCACAAGAGGGAGAGCCTAGACCGTCGGTCCTGTAATGCTTCATCAGGTAGGCGACCACCATGGACACGCTCCTGGAGACACCCTGCTGACAATGGACGAGGACGCCGCCATCCTGGGCTGGGACCGAGGCGACACTCAAGCGAAACTCATGATGCCAGCGCATGGGCCCAAAACAGTTCACTCGTATGGGACGCACATGGACATACTAGTACTATATGTCCTCCTTGGAGGCGCGCGTCCGACACGAACATATAGTATACCCATCTTGTAGTATATCGTTTCCCGAGCGGTGTGGCCAGAAAGCGCCCGCCACGACGCATATACTATAAGATTCCTCGGTGCGCGCGTCGCCCCTGGGGGGGCGACGCACATATAGTATAAGTATGTTGGGGTGTTGCCGACGATCGTACAGCAAATGTTGAACGCCATGTGTGTGAATCCCGTGTAGCTGAAGCCCCATGTGTGCAAGGGCGTCTGTGTGAAACCCCGTGTGCGTGTGGTGTGCTGTGTGCGTGCGTGCAGAATCCCATGTGTGCAGAGCCACATGCGTGCGCGTAAGTGCGTGTGTGGCGCTTGCTCGGGCGAAGAAGCGGCCACACCGGGACTTCCGCAGAGGCCCGGCTTCCCGGAGCCTGGCCTTCCCAGTTCTTCTCCGCTGCGGAGAAGCATGCAAACAAACAATCAGCCTGGCGAAGGACCCAACCATGTGCAGCTGTGAATGCCGCAGTCGTGAGTATCGTCTTCGGTGGAGCCCCTTGTGGGGGCGCGAAATGTCCGAGGAGTGTGCCACAGTGGGATGGTGACGGCACGCGCGCGCTGCCACTGGGGCGTTCGGTGGAGCTCCCTATGGGGCCAGGAAAGGTATGAGGGGTGCTCCGAAAAGGAAGTGGAACTGCATGCGGACCCTGCCACTGGAGCCTTCGGTGGGACACCTCGCCTATAGGCCAAAAAACGTGTGAGGGGTGCGCCGAAATAGAGATGTAACTGCATGCGGACCCTGCCGCTGGAGCCGTGTATGGGGCACCCTATGGGGCCACGAAACGCGTGAGGAACGCGCCGAAATGGAGGTGGAACGGCATACAGACCCTGCCGCTGGGGCCTGCGGTAGAGCACCCCGTGGAGGACATGCGGAGGGCAGAGGCAAGGCGTGTGAGGAGGGAGGGGGGGAGGGGAGAAAACATAAGAAAAACCATATAAACATACAGTTTTGGCGCTCCGCGCAGATTTCTTGGATTCGCGCTGGACCCCCTCCCTGGCGCGCGGAGCGCGCCAGGGGCGGCGCCGGAGGCGCCGCCGGGGGGCCCCGGCGCGGATCCAAGAAATCCGCGCGGAGCGCAAACTGTTTATGTTTACGTGTTGGTTTTTCCTTCTTGGAGGAAAGGAGGAACGCGGGCCACGGACGATGCGTGGGCGATACATCGTCGACGTCGGCGATGCATCGTCGACGTCGACGTGAAGCAAAACGAGATCCACGGCGAGCCGCATCGCCGATGCATCGGCGATGAGGAGCGAACGGGATCCACATCCAGCCGCATCGCCGATGCATCGGCAATGAGGAGCGAACCGTCGACCCCATCTGCTCGGACCCCGCTTGGGAGGCCTAGACTTAAGTCGGGCCTGTCCTCCTACAGGTGGATTTTCGACGAAAGATAAACAATGCTCAAAAAATACTCCCAAATAATTAAAACGTAAAGAAACCAAATGCCCTAAAAATACTCCCCATACTATTCTTTGAATATTTTGGAATATCCCCCCTGTAGAGGGACAGGCCCGACTTCAGCCTAGACTTCAAACACGAGCCTCGCACTGCCCACGCCGCGCGATCCCGCCTGGGGCTCCTCGCCTGCCCCGGCAGAGGCCGGGCGGCCTCCCGCCTGCGCGTGCCTCGGCGTGCCGCACTCGGTGGCGCTCCCGCCGCCGTCCGCTCCCGGCGGCCCCCCTCGGGTGGGCCTGTTTTCCACCACCACCACCACAAGTAGGAGGGGGAGGGGGTCCTCCACCTCTTCCTCCTCCCCATCCTCCACCTCCTTCCCCCGTCCAACTTATGGTGGTAGTGGTGGTGGTGGAGAACGGGCCCATCACCCTCCCCACGCCACACGCGCGACAGCGCTGCCCACCCAATGGGCTCCAGGCTGGCTCCGTTCGAGCAGGCAGCCCCCCTCTGGGCCGGCCGCTGTGGATTCCGCAGCCGCCGATCTCCCTGGCCGCTTGCGTGTGCTGTCCACGTCTGCACCGCCTCGGGCGGCGGCGAGCCCGGGGGGGGGGTGGAGCGAGCGGTGGCGGGCCTCCTCAGAAGCCTCGAGGTCCCCTGGCCTCCCGAGAAGCTCGCTGAGCCCTCCCGGCGACGCCGAACACCCTTCAGAGGCACAAGGCCCTCGGAGGAGCCCCGCCGCCTTCCGAAGAGGCCATCTCCTCTTCAATTCCCCCCTCGCCCGCCGCCGACTCGGGTACGGGTAAGCCAGGCACCTGGCCTCGCAACAGTTGGCTGCTCATTCTGGGGACCTTCCTGGAGCCAGACGCTCCACTCCGTGCGTGAAAGCCGCGTCGAACATGGGCCACGCCAGCCGGAGCTGCGTGGGCCAGGCGGTGCGCGGGCCAGGCGCGGAGCGGCCGCGCGGCCTCCCTCGGATTCTGCCTCCTGCGGTGCCGTGGATGCACCGCGTGCCAATCCTATTCCAACTTCAGCCTCTCACACACATACATACATACATACATACATACATACATACATACATGCATGCATGCATGCATACATACATGCATGCATACATACATACATACATACATACATACATACATACATACATGCATACATACATACATACAGACAGACAGACAGACAGACAGACAGACAGACAGACAGACAGACACACAGACAGACACACAGACAGACAGACAGACAGACAGACAGACAGACAGACAGACATACATCCATGCATACATACATGCATGCATGCATGCATGCGTACATGCATACATGCATACATACATACATACATACATGCATGCATGCATGCATGCATGCATGCATGCATACGTACATACATACATACATACATACATACATACATACATACATACATACATACATACATACATACATACATACATGCACATATGCATACATAAATACATACATACACATACATACATACATACATACATACATACATACATATACATACATACATAACATACATACATACATACATACATACATACACATACATACATACATACATACATACATACATACATACATTACATACATATGTGAGAGAGCGTGATCCACCGCCGCTTTACTGTGGAAAATTGCCAACCTTTTCCTCCGGAACCCGGGGGTCGCCCCCCCCCCGAAAATCCCCCCCCCCTCCCTGCTGGAACCCCTCCCCCCCCCCCCCCCTCCCCGGCCAACCCCCAAAACCCCCCCTTCCCTAACCCCTCCCCCCACCCCCCCCTCCCGCTCGAAAAAACCGGGGGGGGTCACTACCGGTTCGAACCCCTCCCCCCCCCCCCTCCCTACCCTTCGGATCCGGAAAACCGGAGGGGGTCACTACCGGTTCGAACCCCCCCCCCCCCCTACTCACCGCCAGCAAACGACTCCCGGTCCCCACCACCGTCCGCATCACATCCCCCACTGGTGTTCCCAGCACCACTGTCCTCACCACCACTGTCCCCACTGGTTCCACCACCGCCCCTACTGTCCCCACCAGTGCCCCCACCACTGTCGCACTGTCCCCGCTGTCCCCAGAACTGTTCCCACCACGGTTCCACTCTCCCCACTGTCTCCACGGCCCCAACCACTGCCCGACTATCCCCACTGTCCCCACTGTCCCACTGACTCCTCCGCTGTCCCACTGAGCTGTCCCACTGTTCCCACCACTGTCCCCACTGTCCCCACCACTGTCCCCACTGTACCTTTGTCCCATTGTCCCACCGCCGTCCTCGCCACCGCCTTCACCACTGTCCCCACCACCATTGTACCCTCCACTGTCCCACTGTTTCCACCTCATTCCCATTGTCCCCACACCACTGTCCCCACCACC